CACTGGGGTGTCAGAATTGAGTCAGACACCGTCCTCGCCTCAAGTTGCTCATAGACCAGAGGGAGGCCAGACTCTGCAACAAAATCAGCCCTAGAGGTACTAAAGTAAAGCGGTGGGACACAGGCACCAAAGAGAAAGTGTATCGGTCAACTCTCATCACAGCAATGCTGTGTAACAAATGGCCCCATCATTCAATGGTTTACATTATAAGCATGTACTTCTGACTCCTCTGTCTATAGATTGACTGGGGCAGCACTGCCAGTTTTAGCTGGGCCTAGCTGGATTGGCTCCTGGGCAGGGGTTTGGTTGAGGTCTGTTTCAGAACCAGTGGGCTCTGCAGGGGGAAACTGTGCTCATAGCAATGACGGAAGCCCAAGTGGGCATGCTCTGCCACCAAGCCTGTGTTGCGGCTGGGCTCCAGGTCTGGTCTTCAAATATCTCATTGGCCAAAGGGGCTGGAGATGTACTGAAGAGACAAAAATTAAGTCCTCCATTAAGAGCAACCTCGGGCTGCACGTATCTCCAGACCCAGTTCCAGGAAAAGCCTCAGACTGTTCAAGGCAAAGCCATCCTCGGACAGCCCTCAGTTCAGCTAATCAAAAAACATTCCTATGGTCTGAGTCAAGGCTGGGAACTGCAGATACAAACTAGCCAATTTCTCACTGCTTGTCTGAACCCCACGTGGGCCCTTTGAACTCACATCAAAAATAGTCATTTTCAAAGGATTCTCAAGAGTCATGATTGGGTCCCACCAAAAGTAACGAACACCTCACAGATACTGAATGGTCAAAGCTGTAATTGTAATTGGTGCTTATGTGATGATGCTACATGTACTGTAACACCCCCATCCCTTACTCCTTAAAAACCCTGTTCGCTATTGTTCTTCACTTCATCTTGCTGCCATGACACCGGTAGGCGGATGAGCCCCTGCTCGAGCTTGTAATAAAGACCCTTTTGTACTTGCATCGGTGCCGGCTCCTTGGAGGTCTCTGGGGACTCGCGAATCGGGCACAACAGTACCTGTTCCCACAGTGGGAGAGGAGGGAAGTAAGTATTTGCCAAATAATAATTGAAACATCACAGAAGGGCTTCACAGAGGAGGTGTCATTTGACCTAGGCCTTGAAGAAGTTGGATTTCTCCAAGACCTAGGCAGATAGGATAGGCACCGGTGTTAAAGGGATGAAAGGTACAGAGTGAGGGTAGCGATGGGAAGCATGGTCACGGAAGTTCCCTGGGCTACAAGCCTGTCTTGCCCTTTCTCTAAACACAATATTCCACACCCCTCTCCCCATCCGCACCCCCAGTCACTTCCCTTATTTTCAAAATCTAAAACTTCAACTGTGTATCACCACCTACAAGTTCAAGACTCGGTTCTCAGCAAGGAGTCATCTTGGAGAGAGCAGTGCTCGACCCAACACTGGGGATTTGTGCCAGCTTCACCGCGCATCACTCAGCCGATTTTAGAGTCCACCTACCCCCATTCTGGAGTTCAGGTCTGCAGCCGCAGCCCAGAGGCTGGGAACCACATGACCCTCTCGGGGAATAGATTCCTTGAAGGCAAGGTCAAGGGGTCAGGAGGAGCTCCGAACTAAAGAACTCGGGAACCGAGGATTGGGGAGCTCATTTGGAAAGGACCGGCCGTGAGCATTAGAGCCATATGCTCCCACGGAATTGAGCCAAACAATGGTGGGAAGGATGGACAGGATGCAAAGAGCACAGAACTCCACAATGTAAAAATAAGAACCCACAGCTTCTGGGAGGGGAAGGAGATAGGAAGTGGGTGAGCTCATTTCCTCATCCTAAATCACGGGCTGTCGAGAGATGCCATCTACAGTGGAAACACGTTTAAAGAATGAATCCAGCCTCTTGGAATTTTTTCTTTCCTTTTAGGGAAATAATTTAGAAACATAAGAAGCACAATTATTTGCTGTTCGGCAATTTCTTTAGTTACTTCTAGGCTTCCTTTTGTTCCGTTAAATTTAAGTACTTTCCCCCCACAAAGAGCATGTGTTATTGCACGCGCCTTTTTCGGGAATGATTTCCAGCCATCCACCTGTCCTTCTCTCTGAAGATGGATGGAGATGTTGCCACCGAGGTTTCTGGGGGCGCTGGCTTTCCACCTGAGCCTTTTCTGTTAGTGCTCTTGAGTGTTACACTAAAAAGAATACATTTCTGGAAAAGAGAAGTGAGGTAGGGGGTGGCTCCCGAGCCCCTCCCCCGCGCCCCCTCCCCGCACCTCCCCTGCCCCCTTCCCCCTCCCCGCCCCACCCTCCAGCTGCGGTGAGGGCTCGCAAGTTGTCTCATTGGTGGCCGGGTGGAGGGGCCCGGCCCCCAGCTGCAAGGTCACCGCGGGAGGGTGAGGCGAGCGGTTTCCGGAGCTCCGCTTGCACAATCGAGCCTCAGGAGCCGCTGCTGTGGCCAGTGGGAGGCGCCCGGCCTGGGGGCGCGGAGCGTGTGCTCCACCTTGAGCCGGGGGACTGCCGGCGCCTCTGCAAACCCAGGAAGTCACCCCTGCCCAGCCTTACGTTCAGGTGGCCGCGAGGGACACGTGGCGGGCAGTGTCTGGCGCCGGCCGTTGAGTGGGCACTGGACACACTTCTCGGTGCACGCTGCCATCAGAGGGTCCGGTTGGAACCAGCGTGGCGCCCACCCGGTCCAGAGGCTAAATTTAAGAGGGTTAAGTGGCTCAATCCAGCTGTTTCTGGGTCCTAGCAGCCACTCTTATGGTCTCAGCTCCATCTAGCGTCCACACTGGGACATGGCCCCTTATCCTAATTTCCATACTTGCCAAGGGCACAGCATTCATCAGGCCATTAAGACGTAAATAAGATCGAGTTAAACCATTCCTCTCTGCTAGGATTTCATATTTGAAAGCAAACGTTATACAAGTTCAGTGCTACTAACGGTTTGTGCCTCCTGCCTTTGAAAGGATAGCATATTCACACAACAAATACTACTTATAAAAATCGACATTTATTCAATGTTTGTCAGGTGCTGGGCACAATTCTAGGTCCTTTGTGTGAGTTCATTTTACCCTCTACGGTGCTATTCAGTGGGGGGCGGGTGCTTATTGTCCCATTTTATAGATAGGAATGCTGAGGCACCCAGATAAAAAGTAAAATTCGTTACTCTGTTGATTTCTGAGGGCAGGTAGAGGCCGTCTTCCCGGGCTGGAGATGAGGAGGCAGCCCGGCTGAGAGGCTGAGGAGAGAATGGGGGCTGAGACGGCCCTGGGGCTCAGGCTGGGTCTGAGAGGGGAAGGGAGAGGGATGCGCAGGAAGGCCCGCATCCAGCTTTAGTGTCAGGGTGCAGGCTGTGGTCTTGGAGGGAGCCTACGGGAGTTTGAGAATATTTCCTGAGCACCCGCTACGTGCCAGGCATGGAGACGTGGGCTTCCGTGCGCAGGTGTGGCCCCGACCTGGAAGTCCGGAGTCCCGCGGGGAAGGCGGCCGTCCGAGGCGGATGAGGGGTGCTCTCGGTGCACACACACCCACAAAGGGTGAGGGCAGCTGGGGCATGGGGGGGTGCAGGCGAACCTGAGCGAACAGGTGGGGGCTGGGGGGCTGCGTGTGGGGGTCATCTGCTCGGAGGCCTGGACAGGTGGCCTGGGGACCGCTGATCCGAGGAAGATAAGATGGCCAAGGAAGAGGATGCATGGAGGAAACGGACGTGTGACCCGAGGGAACAAGAAGGGGGTTCGCTGGAACCAAAGAGCGGGTTTGGGGGGGAAGCGAGTGGCCACAGGGCTCAAAGGTCAGGAGGAGAGGGACTGGACAGGCCAGAGGGGCCGGGACGGGGTGCTGGACCGAGGGCTTTGCCACCGGGGCCGGGGGTGGGAAGAGAAGGGTATGAATGGGAGGGAGAGCAGTCAGGGTGGTGGGCGAGGGGAAGGCGGGGGGGGGGGGGGGGCTGTTCCTTCTGTTTGCTGTTAGCTACGAGGACACAAGCGCGTGTACAGGCTGATGGGGAAGGAGGGCATGAGAGGGATGGGGTCTGGGGCGGCCCCAGAAAGAACAGATCAGTCACCATGTGGCAAGCGAGAACTACGTAAAGGTAGGGGGGCCATGCCGGGAGGGACAGAGATTTGGGGTAGTTTGGGCAAGGGGGAGGGATGGATGGCGGGTGGGATGCTGAGGGAGCGGCCCCCAGGGGCCTGAGTGTCTGGGCCTCTGGAGAGAGAGGTGGGAGCCCCCCCCCCAGGAGGGGATCGGCTCAGGGGAGGGGGTGGGGTTGCTGGCCTTCTCCTGTGGGGCTCCCAGCAGGGAAAGGCCGAGGGTCAGAGCGGGAGGAGGCCTGTGACTGTCATGGAGGCCACTGGCCAGGGAAGGGAGGAGAGGCCGGGGAGGCTGAGAGAAGGGACAAGGGAGAGAATTGTCAGTGGGGTCAAAGGACAGGGAGTGTGTGGACCAGAGGAGACATGGTGGCTCAGACAGGATTTCTGAGTAAGCCTTCAGAACAGTCACCTTTGTGACCAGCCCTGGGCGTGGCTGAGGAGATGGGTCTGAAGGAGGCAATGGCCGGGGTAGGGTGAATGGGTGGGTCGGTGTGGGGGAGTGGCCTGGGAACCTGCTGGAATATGGAGTGGACAGGGCTGGGCAGAGAACAGAGCCAAAGCTCTTGGCGAGGAGGGAACTGCTGGGGGCGGGGGGGGGGGCAGACATGAGAGCAGAGCGCTGGGGGAAGGAGCACCAGTGACCTGAGCCTCCAAAGGGGAGGGGTGTCAGGTGAGGGCCGGAGCAGCGGTCTGGAAGGGGCGCTGCCAGGCCACCCTCTGCCCATGGTACCCGTGGCTTTGGAGGAACCACGTGCCCGACTTCATTCTCCACACTCCCGGGCGCAGGTGCAACAGCGCGTGTGTTAGGAGTGCTTGACAAGCGGGCCGGTGCAGGGCCTGCCGAGCCAAGGACCCGGGAGCCCGGTGGCCGGCCGAGCTGCACAGGAGACAGCGCCTTCCCCAAGTTCATGTCGCCCGACGCTGAAGGAAAACACCAAGCGCAGGTACAACCTTATTGTGCTGCTTTTAATTACGAAAGATGTAAAACGACGTATTATAAAACTTGGAAGCTACTTTATACAAATTCCAATCTTTAAATATTGTTTAACAAGGGACCTGGGAGTTAGGACACTGGCAGGAAGTCTGATTAGTTGCTGTGAGGGCTCCTTTGCCAAGCAACGGCACGGTCTGCATGGCAGAGCCAGCCGGAGGCGGAGCCGGAAAGGTCTTCGAATGTGTGAAGGGCTGGCACGCAAGGCTTCAGCTCGGCTAATATACAGTAGACTTGGGAGACGTGAGATCGGACAAAGGAGAATTCATGTTGGTCTTGCCGTGATCAAAAACTGTTTCTCCTAACACCGTGTGTCCTAGAAACCAGAACCGTAATGGAAAGAAAAAAAAATGGAACACAGATAGGTTTTTAGCTCTACACTGTTTAACTGCTAATAAATGAGAAGAGTACAGCCATCGGGTTCCTGTAACGAGACTAAATATTGGAAGATAGTTCAATCTGACGTACGCAGCCACTTCAGATGCCGAGGGCCTCGCCTGGCTTGTTGCAAAGGCAGCGATGAGTGCGGGCTGACGCGCGGAAGGTCAGAGCAACACCTGCCCGTGGGTGTCCTTGATGCTCACTAAGCAAGTGAGTTGTAGAATGCCCAAAACCTTTTCATGGGAAAAGGCTGGGCTGGTGGACCGAAGGACAAATTTAGTTCAGTGCTAACCCTTACTGTCATCATTATGCTCCTCAGACTAGTCACTTTTGCCGGGAGCCTCTGTCTGCACCAGTCACAGGGAGAGTGCCCCAGGGACGGCAGATTGGCACCAAGGGGGTCCCGGGCACCCCGCTATAAGGCAGGACTGCCATGCAGACAGAGGGCTGGGGCCCCCAGCCCCACAGGTAAGGCACTATGCCAAGAGTGGGTGATGCTGGTACCTAAAAAAAAAACCAAAATCTAAAAACCAAACTCCTAACATGGGTACCAATCCCCAATCCCCGTCTGAGAGGCCAGGTCAGAGTTCGGGGGGCCTGTGGCACAGGGCAGGCAGCATGGAGCCGGCTTCTCCGGCACGCTGGGGACTGTGGAGCATCACAGGGAAAGGGCTCGTGCTTTCACAAAGAGTCACCCACCTCCTGAGACCCTGGGGATCCCAATTTGACTGGGAAGGGGGCCTGGAGCTCGGGCAGGGACCCTGGTGCACTACCTAATTCAACGGCAGGATTCAGCGCTAACGTGAAGCAGGGGACTCGGGCCCCACAGAGGGAGCTGTGCCATCGGGTTATTTGAAAGACAGCAGGTGAGGCGATCCTTCTAGAAACAGAAACGGGATGAGGTCTGCAGAGGTTAACAGCCCAGGATCCCATTTCAGACGCCTCTCGTCGTGGGGCGGCCGTGCTGCCGCGGGTGGGAGCAGTTGGGCGATCTTCATCGACTCTGCGGGCGTCTCCTGGAAGGCCGTGGCTCTCCCGGCAAACGCTCCAGCGTCTTTCATCTCCCCTCCCTGCCCCTCCTGCCATGCCCACGTTCTGCCCCATTGCCCAGGCCTGTCCCCAGAGGTGCTCTTCAAGCCCACCCGTCAGGTGGGTGGCCAGGGGCTGGGTCAGGAGGCCGGCAGTGGTGGAAACCCACTAATGCTACTTTATGCTAAGGTACTAACGACTAACGATGCCGGGCTCCCCGAGGTCCCAGTGCATGGGAAGCCCCAGTTTCGGTGGCGCTCAGGAGATAGGCTCTGCCCACCTGCTGCGGTGCACACCCTCGAGGAGACTGGGGCGCGCGGTCTCATCGTGGATTTGGTCACCTAGTGTTAAAAGCATATTAAAGTGCACGCTGCACAGGCACAAGTGTTCCCCAAAAAGCTAAAGCTCTGAGGTTTTGCAGGGAAGGGGGACACGCGGAAGATTAGACTGCCTCGCGGCAAGGCAGATTCATTCATTCCTCCGTTCAGTCGTTTGTGCATTCAATGCGCAGTTACGCAGCACCTACGGAGTGCTGGCCCTTGTTAGGAACTAGGGGTCTCATAATGAATAAGGCACGGTCCCCGCACTCGGGGCGCTTACGGCCTAGCGGGGCTACGTTCACACCCCCTCGGCACACAGAACCCCCCCACCCCCCATCCCCGCTGCTCACACCTCCAGCCGCTCCCTCCTGCGGAGGGGGAGGCCGGCGCCTGTCTGGAGCTCGTCTGGAAGACATTGCATGTCTCGCCCTCCTCGCTTTCCACCTCAGCCGTCAAGAGGAAGCACCTTCCTCTTTTCGGGCTCGTCCATTACCAGGGGATTTTTGTTTGTTTTCAGTGACTGAATAAAATAGTCCTCCCTTTCCCCCTCGTCCACAGGAGAAGGTGTCCCGAAGCAGCAGAAAGGAGATTACATACTTGGAGAAGACAAATGAGCATTCAGTTTGTGAAACTCGGGTCTGTGCTTGAAATCCTGGGAAGAATTCTTCATATTGGAATTAAGGCATCTCCGAGATGATGGCCGTCTGCCGTGTCCCGGGACCGGCCGCCACCGGCTGGCAGGTGCTTGGCCGGAAGGCGAGGGCGGGGGTGGCATCGCGGCGCTGTGGTGCCGTCGCTCGCAGCTGAGCCAGCTCCTGAAGGCCCTTGGCCCCTAGCCGCCACCGCTCCGGGCTGTTCTTCAGTGTCGACTGACATCAGTGGTTCTGGGCACAGCACCAGGCGACCGCCCCCCCGGTCACAGGGTTCTTTTCTACTTGTACATGTGGACCGACTAGAGGGCAGAGAAGGAGAGGCGCTGGTCATGGTCATGACCGAGTCGTTGGAGGCCCCAGGGCGCAGGCCTGCAGAGCATAACCCTCGCCACAGGCCTGAGAGGCCGTGCACGGCTCTCTGGTCTAGAACAAGCCACTGCGTAGGAGACGCAAAGCCAGAAGTCACAAAACTGGCTCCTTCCGTGTCAGAAGCCCGAGATAACGCAAGCCCGGTGGGGGGAGGGGGGTAGCTGGCTCCATTCTGTGCCGTCCTATTTCGGCTCCTTCAGAGAGAAATTCTCCTGGTCCTGGTCTGTTCTGTTCACAGTCGGTCAGCCCGAAACGTCTCTTCAACAGAGGGGTCGAGCAGGCCCATGCTGGAGTCACTTAACATGTTGAGTCCGTCCAGGCTCAGGGGTTCGATCTGGAGCTCTTCTTCCAGAGGAAACGGAGTGTCCGTGTGCAGGCGGACCTCGGGGGTGCCCGCCAGCGCACTGCTGAGGTCTTTGAACAGGCTGGCACTTGAGTCTTCTGGAGGGAGCAGCAAGGGGGGAGACAGCGCGGGTTAAGAGGACACACAGCGGGCGACACCCCTCAAAGGCCATCCCTGTCGTCTTCCCCACCGTGACACTGACCTCCTGCGTCCCCCAACTCCCTGGCACCCGGGCGGCTCTGGAAACTACATTCTTTCCGTCAGTTCCATGACCCCCCCCCCCCCCATTTTTGCAGGCTTCCTCCCTCTGAACAGTTCCCATCACTTCAAACTAAGTAGTTCGGAAAAGGCCTGGAGGACCAGGCCCTTTCCCCACTGGCTCGCAGTCTCTGGGGCTGGGCACCTGCATTTCAGAAAGGCAGTGTTGCCTGGAGACTTTAATTTTTGGCGTCACCTGATGTCGTGTGCACTATCTCACGAGGGTATGTGGAAAGGCGCAGCAGAATGAACACGGTCAAGAGGCTGAGGGCTGGCCCCCACTCACCTGTCAGGATGGGGTTGGGGAAATTCCCGCAGTTGGAATACAGGTTTGGTCTCAAGTGAAACGCGTCCTGTGGTTCTCGCGGACCCTGTTCCTCCAGGGGCACCTGTAAGCGTCCGAGGTCACACTGTAAGGAAAGACCGCTGCCTCCAAGGAGTGAGTCATGCAAGGGGCTCCCAGAGCAAAACCAGACAGGAAAGTGGTCTTCGGGCTCCTTCTCTCTAGGATCCTACACAGGACATTCCTCTCAGGCAGGCAGGCAGGTGCGGGGGTGGAGGCGGGGGTCCCCGAGGCCCACAGTGTGGGTAACTCGTCCCCATTCACAAAGGGCCGGGTCCACGAAGGCATTATGAGCCACGGACAGTCACGCTCTCTGTGGCAGCTCAGGTCTCACACCCTGCCCGCCCCCCCCGCCCCAGCCACCACACCAAGGCCTTTGGACACACCGCCTGCAGGAGCCCTTCAAGGTCCCATTTATAACCAAGGAAGTGATGTGACCCATGGACTCTTTCCCCCTTTGGTTTCTAGAAAAATGAGGAGGTGATACCCCTTCCTTCTCAGAGGACGGAACCTCAGGCAGGCGCCTCTCCATGAGAAAGGCTCCGCAAGGAATGGCTAAACCTGGAGACTGTGTCAGGTGCCTTTCCAGAAATTAATATTCCAAACCAGTTTTTTCAATCTTTCAAAAGTAGGCATTTCTATCATTTTTCAGGGAGACTCTCTGACTCATCTAAACCAAACTGGCTTCTTCAGAATCAGAAAACGAGGAGGCAGGGACTATTGGTTTATGCCATGAGCCTTCGTGGCCAAATTGGGGAAACATCTGTTGTGTGTTTTACTGTGTAATTATTATTAAGACCTGTAGGGGGTGCCTGGGTGGCTATGTTGGTTAAGCATCGGACTCCTGATTTGGGCTCAGATGGTGGTGTCAGGGTTTGTTGAGATAGAGCCCTGCGTCAGGCTCTGCACGACAGCAGGGAGCCTGCTTGGCATTCTCCCTTCCCTATTCTGCCCCTCCCCTACTTGCACGCAGGCGCGCGCTCTAATCAAAAACATAAAAATCTTTTTTAAAAAAAAGATCTGTAAAATGCTCAAACGCCTTCTCTCCTTAATCCATCCTAGAGCCCAATCCACGCTTAATAAACATGATAAAATCTAGAAATATTTTAAGTGATCCTTAGGGAGAACCTAAAAAGCAAAAGGAAGTGGTTGAATAAAAATATATTGGGGAGGCACTTGGGGGGCTCAGTTGGTTGGGTGTCTGACTCTTGATTTCAGCTCAGGTCATGATCTTATAGTTCATGGGATTGAACCCCATGTCGGGCTCTGTGCTGCCAGCATGGAGCCTGCTTGGGATTCTCTCTCTCCCTCTCTCTTTCTGACTCTTCCCACACTTGCACACACATGTGAGCACCTTCCCTCTCTCTCTCTCTCAAAAATAAGCAAACATTTTAAAAAAAGAAGAAGAAGAGGGGCGCCTGGGTGGCTCAATCAGTTAGGCCTCTGACTCTTGGTTTCAGCTCAGGTCATGATCTCACAACTCGTGGGTTCGAGCCCCTCATTGGGCTCTGCCCTGACAGCATGAAGCCTGCTTGGGATTCTGTCTCCCTCTCTTTCTCTCTGTTCCTCCTCCACTCATGCTCTCTTTCAAAAAACAAATCTTTTCTTAAATTTAAAAAAGAAAAACGAGAAAAAAAGATCTTAGGGAAGGGCATCTGGTCCCGCCTGGGCCAGACTCTCCAGGCCGAGCCCCTCCTGGTCTCAGTCTCTCCAGCAGGACAGATCAGTGGGCCTTGGTGGTCCCTTCGGCCATGAGCCATGCTACAAGTGTGTGACTAGACTGTTCTCAGACATCTTCTACCCCTTGCTCTGACAGTTCTGCAGAGGCCTGCACCTACACAAGGCAGCTGGCCCCAGCATGTGAGGGCTAGGGGAGATTCCAGGCCCCCCGGGCCCCTGAACACATCTGAACCCAGGGCAGTGGAGCACCTAGTCCATGACGCCAGGGACTCCCCAGGGAAATGGCCCAGATGGCTCAGTCTACACCCTGAACAGCCTACATGGTGTGGTTCCCGGTCGGAGGAAGAGCCCGGCTGGGCCATCACTTACCTGTTGAGGAAAGGCCGGGCCTGGCCTCATGGACTGCTGGTCAAAGCTCACATCGGGGAAGAAGCTGGTCACAGGTGAACCCTTATTGGAATAAGGAAGGGACCGTTTAGCTTGGAGCTCGGGGCAAATTAGGAGTTCCCTCCCGACCAGTGCTCAGGACCCACCTGGGCGGTAAGGAGCTGGAAGCCGGAGGGAGGCAGGGAGGGGGCCACCTGGGGCTGCTGAGTGGGTGGCTCCTGGGCACGAGGCTGCTGCAGGAGGGGCTGGGGGAGCTCCTGGGGGGTGGGGTAAGGGGGCGGCGGGGACACCTGGCTTTGAGCTTCCGTGGGCAGGAAGGAGAGTGGGCTTCGATCTGAGGACACCATCTGTAAAACAAAGCCACTAATTAGCTTCGGTGGCGTTTCTGGTGGAAAATCCTTTCAGATTAGGAGCTGTCAAAGGTCTTCTTCCCCTGGGTGCTCTGTGCTAGGCCCTACTTCTGCACCTTCTATGTGACCTTAAGCCTCACTCCCCCACGAAACAGCTCCCATTCAATGACAATTTCTATTGTCTTAAAACACAACTGAACACAACACAACACAACACAACACAACAGAGCTAAATACCCACCAACTGACCCAGTGTCCTCAGTGAAAATCATGTTTGTTTTTTTAAAGCCATAACTTCTGGTTTAAGATGGAAAATGGAAAACAAAAAAAAAAAAGAACTCAGCCCTGCTATCTCCCCAAACTCTACTAAAACACTAGAACAACATTACACAACAGGAAACATTAATGATTTAATACTTTAAAAAGAAATAACACAAATGATAATAAACAACACAAGGACAAAGAGGGAAGAAAGTGGCCGTGAAACGTGGACAATGAAGAGGGACGGGCTGGCAGGAACCAGCCTCGCAGAGCTGGGAAGACCAGAGCGGGGCTGGCAGAGGGCACAAGCCAGGAGGCAGGCGGGCTTCCGTCACAGGGTCCCCGCGGCCGGCTGTGGGACAACAGCAAGCAGGGGTGAAGACCCAGAAGGCCCCCATGGGCTTGCGTGAGGCGAGGTCAGGCTTAGCCCTTGCCTGTGGGGAGACTGTGGGGGGCGGGGGGTGGTGCTCTGGAGAGAGCCCAGCTAAGGGACCTGCAAGGCACAGCGGAGCCAGGAGGTGAGGTGCTCTGCTCAAAACACAGGGTTCAAGAGAGCTCACTACTGAATCCTGAAGTTTCCCCCTCTCTTCCCCAGCTTGGGTCTCAGCAGACTGGACGCTAGGTGTATGCCAGTGTCCCCTGGGGATCTGACCAGCCAGAGACACCATCCTGAAACTTACACGACACCAGGGACCCCCCCTCCACAGAAATGGCCAAGCTAGGTCAGTCTACAGTGAAGACCATACTCAATAAGCTCACCTGTCTGTCTACACAGGGCTTCCAATTGGTATTTTTGTGTCCTGTTCTTAAAGACGAGCAGGGGAGGCCTGGGGGGGCTCAGTTGGTTAAGCATCCAGCCTCAGCCCAGGTCATGATCTCACAGTCTGTGAGTTCCAGCTCTGCATCAGACTCTGTGCTGACAGCGGGGGGCCTGCTTAAGATTCTCTCTCTCCCTCCCTCCCTCTCTCTGCCCCTCCCCGCCTCAAACATAAATAAGTAGACAAAAAAAAAAAACAAAAAAAGATGAGCAGAGGGCCAAGAATCACCAGACTGTGATCAGAGGAAACCATCTGAATGGAAATCAGAGACCAAGGCAGACATACAAAGAAAAGAAACTTGGAGAAATCTATGCAGAAGAAGTAGTCATGAAAAACGAAATTACCATTATACTGTTTCGGCTATAAAAAAAAATCTTTATCTATTAAATATGTGTAATAAACATGTGCAATACGTATCTCTAGATACATGTTTTTCAATGTAGGGATGTGGGTGAAACAAGATTACCAAAACATTGGGTGACTGTTGAGGCTGAATGAAGAGAATAAAAGGATTCATTACACTGTATTCTCTACTTTTACGCAACTTAGAAAATTTCTGTTACAAAAAAATAAAAGAAACTGGAATGAAAATTACCACTGAAAACCTCAGAGGGATGAAAAAATGCTCTTGCACTCATGGGATGAGTATGAGGCTGTAACGAGGAACAGTTGGAGAACAGAAAAGAATTTTTGGCAATTTGAAAGTACGGGAGCAGGGGCTCCTGGGGGGGCCGGTCGGTGAAGCATCCGGCTCCTGATTTTTTTTTTTTAAATGTTTTATTTATTTCTAAGAGAGAGACAGCATGAACAGGGGAGGGTCAGAGAGAGAGGGAGTCACAGACTCTGAAACAGGCTCCAGGCTCTGAGGTGGCAGTCAGCACAGAGCCCGACGCGGGGCTCGAACCCGCGAACCGCGAGATCATGACCTAAGCGAAAGTCGGACGCTTAACCGACTAAGCCACCCAGGCGCCCCATCCGGCTCCTGATTTTGGCTCAGGTCATGATCTCATGGCTCGTGAGTTTGAGTCCTGTGATGGATTCCGCACTGACAGTGCAGAGCCTGCTTAGACTTCTCCCCCCACCCCATCTCTGTCTTAAAACAAATAAATAAAATAAAATAACAGAATCAAAGTATGAGAGCATAAATGAAAATTCGGCATAACAGCAGGAAGATAAAGAAAGCAGGGTGAAACGAGGAGGAGAGGAAAAATAGGGGCGTGAGAGGGAAAGGATGGGAGCCCAACATTCACACAACGGAGTTCAGGAAAGAGAGAACAGGAGTCAAAGGGAAGAAGTCATCCAAGAAATAATTAAGGAGAATTTCCCAGGAATGTAGGATGGTTAAGAGTTTCCAGGTTGAGGAAACCCACCAATATCCTGACTCACGTCAAGCCACATGATCCAGAGGTTTTAGAACCCTGCGGGACAAAAAGAAAATCCTACAAGCCCCCAGAGGGAAAAAAGGAGATTTCGTTCAAAGTATTAAGAATCAGAACGGCACTGGATTTCTCACTCGCAACTCTAGAAACCAAAGGCAACGAATTAATATCTTCAAAATGTTGAGAAAATTATTTCAGATTTGAATTCTGTATCTAACCAATTGTGCACTATATGATGGGTATTCTGCCTGCCATGTTTAAGGACATGTTTAAGTCATACCAGACCCATACACTCTTGCCCGGAGAGCTACTGGTGGGCTGTGTCTCAATGTACAGAGAGGAGATCCAACCAGACCCCAAGAGCCAGGATGTGATAAGTAATATGTACACAGAAAACTGAACTAACAAAAAAGTAAGACATTTATGAACTCCTGGGTGAAGAAAAAAACGTTCACTTTGTTCAATTTCATAGTATACTAAAGGGTTCAACTGGGCTCTGTTATAAACTTTTTTTTAATGTCTTATTTATTTTTGGGAGAGAAAGACAGAGCAGGAGTAGGGGAGGGTCAGAGAGAGAGGGAGACACAGAATCCGAAGCTGGCTCCAGGCTCTGAGCTGTCAGCACAGAGCCCGACACGGGGCTCGAACTCAGGAACCATGAGATCATGACCTGAGCCAAGGCTGGACGCTTAACTGACTGAGCCACCCGGGCACCCCCTGGCTGCTCTATAGAACTGTGAATGCACTAAACACCGAAAATTACAATACAGCACAGTGTGAATGAGGAGGGTGGGTAGGAAATGTGTGTGGGGGTGCGCGGGGTTTGGGGAGAGCTACGTCCTAATTCTCCATGGCAGCATCTCATCAGATGACACCTAACGCCAGAAGTCCAAAACCAAACAAGCATCAAATAACATGGTTATACCACAGAGATCAGCTAACATGGCTGAAAGGAGCCATCTCTAGGGAGTAGGAAATATGGTTAGTCAGGGAGGGGATGACAACTGATATTTCCCAACAAGCCCTTTAGAACTATGTGACTTTTAAAACTGTGTGCCTGGATAACACTGATTTTTAAAAAACCAAAATACTAAGCAAACCAAAAATGAAAACATTCAAAACAGGGTGCTCTCCCTCTCTCCCGTCTCCTTAAAATGTAGCAAGAGAGTAAGAGTGATATTTTTTATAGCCTATAATCTTGAAAATTAAAATTAAAGGCAATCCAATGATATAAAAAGAACCACTAAAAAAACAATTATGAAATCCCTCTCCCCCTCTCAGGAAAGGGATTACTCATGGAAGAGGGAGTTGTGACTGGGTCTGTTAACTCCTTCCGGTGTGTTCCGTCAACCCTTCCTTGCTGAACCATGACTCATTTATGGTGAGGTGGGGACTCAATGATGTCACAGTGTATCTAGGGAGTGACCGCAGCTGAAAATATATTCAGCGGTGATTATGGTAAGAACTGCCCTAATTGTTTCAAATAAAAACAAAGTTAAAAAAAAAAAAAAAGAACAAAAACAAAGTCAACAAATCAAGATATGACATTTTGACACCGAAACTTTTGTAACAGGCCTATGACTTCAAACTGTGCCTCTTTCTACACAGATTTCTTGGGACCTTTTACAGAGATCTGGTCTTTTCTATATATCTGTTATTTCATGAACAATAAAAGTACTGATTTTCCAATCTGTAAGTATAATTAGGGAAGAGGTCTAATCCTGTATCAAAGCTTCAGCAAGGTATTAAGTGTCTCCCTTTGGCTTTCCTCTGTCGCTTAAAATACTTACAGCATCAGTTACTGGTCATTTTCCACACCAATTTTAAAGCCCCAACCTCGGGGGGCCTGGGCGGTATAGTCGGTTAAGTGTCTGAATTCAGCTCAGGTCATGATCTCGAAGTTTGTGAGTTCTAGCCCCACACCAGGCTCTGTGCTGACAGCTCAGAGCCTGGAGCCTGCTTTGGATTCTGTGTCTCCCTCTCTCTCTGCCCCTCCCCTGCTCATGCTCGGTCTTTCTCTGTCTCTCAAAAAAATGAATAAACGTTAAAAAAAATTTTTTTAAACAAAACAAAACCACCCCAGCCTGGTCTCCCCTAGCCATCTTAGACACGTCTGGGCTGTGTTCTCTATGCCCTACCTGGGGGTCAGTGACTGCCGGCTGTGCGTCTGGAAACGGTGATCTTCACAACAAACAAGCCATTAGGGAGCGAGCAGTGCTGAGTTATTTACACTCTGCTCGGTGTGTTCGGTGCAGAGTTGGTTCTCACCTGGGCGGCAGGATAGGGGTTGGGAGGGCTGCTGGCCGACAGCTGTCTGCAGAAACCCTGATGCGCTTCGGGGCCCGGGGACAGCGTCAGGGGGCTGACCGGGGGCTGCCGCCGCCGCGCGGGGCCGCTCAGGGCCGTGGTGGAGAGAGACGGGTTGCTGAGGGAGAAGAGCCGCAGGGAGGGGTGCAGGGCCGAGGCGCTGGGGGCTGGTGTCTGTGGGTGGCTGTTGGCGGAGGATGAAAGTGCAGTCTTGCTGAGTGCGGCCTGGATGGAGGGGTTGCTCCGAGAGCCCTGGAGGCCTGCGGGACAAGTCACAAGTTACTCGCCACAATCTCTCGTGTCCCCGAGATGCAGGAAAGCTCCCTCTGGTGCCCGCGATGCGTATCCGAGGCCGGCTCTGCCCGCGGGGAGCTCCTGGGTGGCGCCCCCACTGCACTGGGGTCTGACGTGCCCGCGGTGGGGGACCGAAGCACTGGGCTGCGAGCTGGCGGCGGCAGGGTGACAGTGAGCTGTGCTCCGGGAAGCGTGGGGCGGCCGCTGGGCGAGGTGAGCAAGGCCAGGGGTGTGCGTGCCCCGCCCCCACCCGGGGAAAGACTGTGCACACATTCTGTTTAGAGCCCCGGACGCGCTGTCCCAGACACTGCCCGGACCCCGCGCTGCCTTGAGAGAGCCTCCTTTCCCTGAGTTGTGGCTCTGGGGTGCCGCCTTGACGGGGACCCGGTCTATACCCCGAACACCCCAGAGGAGCATAGGAAGGGACTCCCTCCCACGTCTCCTGCTTTCTCTTTGCTTCTCCGGCTCCCCAGAAACCTTTCATGACAGTCTACTCCCATGTAGGGAAAATGAAGTTTTTGCTGGTGCTTTGTTTTATTTGGGGGGAGGAGCAGTGAATTTTAGCATGAGCGAGAGCTTGGGAAAAGGCATTTCCATGACACAGGCTGCCAAGGCCTGAGTTACATGAGGCCAGGACTGTGTCCTGCATCCTGCCGGAGCCTTGGCATGGGACCTGGCACAGAGTGGCCTTGCTCCGTGACTTAACCATGCCACTGTGCATCTCAAATGGGAATGCCGCGTTTCAAAGTTCAGCACATCATTCCGGTACCGGTAGGCGGGGTGAATGTAACTGTGTGTTCTTTTATGTTCAAAAAAAAAAAAAAAATCAGTGTTAGATATAAGTTACCGTAATGGAGCAATGACAGAATAAAGCATTCTTTGCTGGAAAATGCTTTTTTTCTCCCCCGCCACAAAGGCGCTTGGGGTGGCTCAGTTGGTTAAGTGTCCGACTCTTGGTTTCAGCTCAGCTCATGATCTCATGGCTCGTGAGTTCGAGCCCTGGGTCGGGGCTTTGTGCTGACAGCTTGGAGCCTGCTTGGGATTCTCTCTCCCTTTTCCTCTGCCCTTCCCCCATGTTCTCTCTGAAAATAAATAAACTTTGAAAAAAACAGAGAGGCTGTCTCTGATAAACTACATAGCTATCCCACAGTGCAACTCTCCACAGAAAGGCCAGGGATCTGCTGGCTCAAGAAAGAATGAGAGCTAAAGATGTGAACTGGGGTTAGAAAACAAATCTACTCGTTCAGAAGCAAAGCTCAAAGATGTTAAAAAATATACATATATATTCAACTTCATATACCACGCATTTTAAGGAGTCCCTAGAAATTATATAAAAACTTGATACTGGTTCTCATAACGTGCTGCACAAAATAATGCTTTTTTGGGAAAAACAGCAGATAGTGGTAAACACAGGACTTTCAGCTGAAGCAAAGTGTCAAAGGCTGCCCCGGGGAATGCCGGCTGCCTCCAGACCCCAGAGAGCTAAGTGCCGACGCTGCTTTACTTAGGTGACCTTGGATACCCTTGTACTGACAGAATTCAGCAAGCACGCGGAAGCAGAGCGGCAGGATAATGACCTAAGTAAGCAAGTAAGGGTAATCTCTGAAATCAATTCTAAAATTCTGGGGCACAATGGCTGCACTGCCACAAGCATCGGAGAATCTTCCAGCCGCCCATCCTGAAGGGGACCTCTCTCCTGCGAGCGGGGGATTCTGAACGCACAGTGGGAACCAGCAGCCCTTCCCCACTGGTGGGCCGTCACCGGGGATCCCCTCCAGAGGCGACAGTCCACACCACAGCCCTTGGGACCCTTACAGCCGGAGGCTGGAGCGCGGCCCTGGGAGTACGGGGTCAACACCCGCCTCAGATGTGGATGAGAGCATCTGCGGAGGCTCAAGTAAAGTTAGTCATGTTCCAACATGGGGATCTGAGCCGCGGGCGCCCAAACTTGAACGGTGACCCAAGTCACGTCATGGCAACATTTTTTTAATCCTTTTTTTAAAAGTTTATTCATTTATTCTGGGAGAGAGAGAGAGAGAGCAGGGGAGGGGCGCAGGGAGAGGGGACAGAGGATCTGAAGTGGGCTCTGCGCTGACAGCCTACAGCCCAATGTGGCACCTGAACTCAGGAACTGTGAGATCATGAACTGAGCCAGAGTCAGACGCTCAATAGACTGAACCACCCGGGTGCCCCCCCCCACCCCGATGGCAACATTTTACTAGAGCCACATCCTGCATCTTTAAGCACCTCTGAAAATTTGAACCAATAATTTTAAACTGTGGTGGATTTCTATTTAGTATATTTATCTATTAGTATCAAATATTTTCATTGTATCCCTTACAGGTTTTCTAAAATTCAAAATATTCTCTGGGGCACCTGGGTGGCTCAGCGGGCTGAGTGTCCAGCTTTGGCTCAGGTCATGATCTCATGGTTCATGAGTTCAAGGCCTGCGTCGGGCTCTCTGCTGTCAGCAGAGCCCGCTTCAGATCCTCTGTTCCCCCCTCTCTCTGCCCCTTTCCAGCTCACACTCTCTCTCAAAAATAAACATTAAAGGGGCACCTGGGTGGTTCAGTCAGTTCAGCATCTGACTTCAGCTCTGGTCATGATTTTGTGGTTTGTGAGTTTGAGCTCCGTGTCGGGCTCTGTGCTGGCAGCTCAGAGCCTGGACCCTGCTTTGGATTCTGTCTCCCTCTTTCTCTGCCCCTCCCCCAGTTGTGCTCTGTCTCTCTCTCTCTCAAAAATAAACAAACATTAAAAAAAGTAAAATAAACATTAAAAAACAATAGTAATGAATAAAATAAAATTCAAAGTATTCTCTTTTGAAATCCAACGGGAAATTAGAGGGATCTAGAGAGAGAAAGCCGTAATTATAAAACACTATCACATGTTGATTAAGAGCCATTAACATTGTTCAGTGAACACAGAAAGGAAAGCACACATTTTTCTGGACTCATACCGCCTACTCTCCCAGTCCAGGGACAGCCGGGCTGGTGAAGACGGTAAAGGACGAGGTTTAGCCGAGTGCCCCAGAGCCCAGCCAATCCGGCAAAAACAGACCACCAAAGGGAAATGCCAGCTGTCCCAGCTACTGGGACAGATACATAACTATCTCTAACTTAGAAGCAATCATTCTCATCAAACGACTCACTAACAGGCTGCCTGGCTGGGGACCACCTAGGACTGGGGCCACTAGGGCACCTACGTGGGCGCGGCTCTTACTGAGCGGAGGACACTTACCGGAAGAGCTTCTGAGGCCCAGGTGAGTCATGGCGGCTGGCAGGCTCCCCACACTATTCCCCACGCTCATACTACCGAAGATGTGGTCATTGGTGTCCAGCGAGGCTGGCACAGGCGGGGAATAGTGGAGGTTGGTTAGGTCTGGCAGTGACCCCCCGGTATTCAGGGTCCCCAGGAAGGGTGAGAGGCCTATGTTTTGACCATTATGTGGAAAAGCACTGGTAAAAAAAAGAGAGAGAGAGAGAGAGATTATTTTCTAAAGTGCATTTGGCTGCTGGGGAATAGAACATACTTGTCGAATGAAGGCAGTGGGTATCAAACATCCAAGGGGGAGGGACAGAGAGAGGGAGACACAGAATCCGAAGCAGCTCCAGGCTCCGAGCTGTGAGCACAGAGCCCGACGCGGGGCTCAAATTCCCGAACAGAGAGATCATGACCTGAGCTGAAGTTGGCCACCTAACCGACTGAGCCACCCAGGCACCACCCCGCCCAAGCGAACAAACTCTTCCATGAACTATGTTCTATGTTTTTGTCCTGACAGATGACACCTCGACAGCCCGGAAAGTCAGATTCAAATAGAGAATCCCCCAGTTCCTTGCAGTGATGCAGGGGACACACGGGCGGTGGCTGTGCTCCTTCGTCCACTGCGGCCTGGTCCACACCGCAGGCCCCCGTGGGGCTATCCCTGCCTGCAGGCCAAGCCCCGGCCACACTCCACATGCCCGCCCCCACCCTGCCCCTGAGGCAGGCGGCGTGTTCCCCAGGGGCCCCTTGGACGCCAGACTCCATGGGAGTGGGGTCTCTGAAGTGTGGGGCCCCGGGAGCGGCTGCGAGCCCGGGTCTGAGGGCACCGCTCTTGGGAGCTCACAGGCAGGCAGGAGACACAGACCGGGGGGAAGCCACCAACTGCCGTGTGGAGGGAAGCATGCGGGGCCGGGGCTCATAAGGGGTGGGGAGGACCGTTAGGGACACGTGCCACGGCAGACACAGAGGCGGGAGCTGTCAATGTCGGGATGGGCTGGGGAGTCAGGCCAGAGGCTGGGAACGGGTGGGTGGCAGGTGAGGTAGGAGGGGAGTGAAGTGCCCGAGGGTAAGACGATGTGCTGACGAGTCCGGACCGGGGTCTGTGAGAAGTCGGGAGTCCAGCATAAGCTGCAGAAATGCCACCTCAGAGATGCCACCGTGGTTACCATGTGGAGGACGGCGTAGGGGAGTGGGGAGCAGGGCAGGGAGAGCCGGTGAGAAAGCTCCTGCGTGGTCCAGGTCCAGCGTGGGCTGACGAAGAGGAGACCGGCTGGAGGACAGCGCCGCTGGGCAAGAGCAGGGAAGGCACTGTCAACACGTCACCTCCCAGGGGCCAGCCGTGGGCGTCGGGCCTCAAGAGGCTCAGACAAAGCAGGGACGCAGCCATATATATAACACAAATCTGCAGTGCAGCGACAGAGCCTGGTGGCATAAGGTGTGGAGGGGAAACCAGCAGGCTGGGGGGGGGGGTGCAGGGACTCCCTGGGGGGCTCTTGGCTGAGTTCGAAGGCCCAGGAACTCAGAGCGTCTGGTTGGGAAACCATTTCTGGCAGAGTTCACAGCCTGGGCAAGGGAGGGAAGCATGAAACCACACAGCTGCCCAAGGAATTTAGATACCCCAGGAAATACCGCAGGAAGGTCAAGTTCAGGAGAGGCGGTGGCGACAGGAGGCAGGACTGGATAGGCAGGCAGAGAGCACAGGAGGCTCAGACAGACAAGCCGCCAGTGGAAGGCTCGGTGGGGGTGGGGGCGGCAGGGGGACCTAATCATTCCAAGGACGGCGTGGCTGAGAGACGGCGGAGGGAGAGCGCGTAAGGAGCAGAGCCTGGGGGCAGCGAGGTCAGTGGTGGCCGCTGCTGGGTGGTCCCAGGCGACACTGAGAGAGCCCGTGGGGATGGGGAGACCCGGATGGAGTCTGGAGACACCTGAGGCAGTCCTCGAGAAGGACTCCGGATTTTCCGGCACGGGGGCGCTGGCCTGGGGACACTGGGGTGTACGAGCAGGCTGGGGGTAAGGGGAGGTGCTCTGGGGACGATAACGAATTCTGTCTTAGACGCGGAGTCGCCACAGCGTAAGAGGACATGTACTAGAGATGCCTCCTGAGGAAGGGCGGGGCCGGGGGCCAGGCCACAGTGGGCTGAGGAGCGGACTGGCTGTAAGAAGACTCAACAGTAAATACTCTTTCAAAAGAGTGGCTAAGAATTCTGGAAATGAGAAGGACAGAAGGATGGGAGGGAGGGAAAGGGAGCTCAGGGCTAAGGAAGGGTTTTTCAGTGCAGACTCCTTAATAAGCACATTGAAACATGGACAGAAAAACCTAGTAGAAGGGCTGGGGAAGGGCCGAACACTTAGGAGACGGAAGGGTAAGCAGGAGGGAGAGGCCTCGGAGAGGCCCGTGCCCTGAACCAGAGGAGGGCTCCGGTGTCTCTGACCCCACGAAAACAGAACGGCGAGGGGCATCAGGGGCAGGAGGGAGGCTGAGCGTTCCTTCTGGGTGGCCTCCCTTCCTGGGTACAGGTAGGGGGCTTAACTGTGGAGGCCTGGAAAGAAATGGGGAAGAAGGAAAGGTGTCCAATGTGATGGATGAGGAGGGAAGGTAATTTTGGTTGTAGAGAGACTGACGGTGGAACCTTGTCTTTCAGATGGCTGGATGCAGACCGGTCATGGGGTTAAAGGTCACAGACTAGGAAGGAACTCAGGAACCCAGAGCTGATCACCCTGAGAGCAGACGGGCTCTGGGGCGGAGAGAAGAGACACCCATGGGCGGTGGCTGGGGGGAGTGACGGCAGTGGGAGGAAGTGGGGAACAGGCCCCGTGGCTCGGAACGGGGACGGAGAGAATAACCGGCTGGCGTGAAGCAGGTCACTGGTGACATTCAAAGCACTCTCTCGCTGGCTGAGGGAAATACAAGTCGTAACTTTCCAAACACTCTTAGTACCGGCCGCAGTCCTCTTGGGAATCTGATAGGAGGCAGGTAAGGGCATCCCTGGCTCAAAACCCTCTGCTGATACCACTCTGACTTCAAGTCCCACGCAACACGCCAGCCTCCGTGTCCTCGAGGCACAGGCCTGCCTCAGGGTCTCTGCACTGGCTGTTCCCTCTGCCCGGAACATGCTCCCCTTCAGCTCATCCCAGGTTCTTGCCGCACAGCATCTTAGCCAAGAAAGGGCTTGCCGATCCGACCCTGTCTTCCTCCCCCGTGTGCTTACCAACACGTGACATATTTATCTGCCCGACTGTCCCTGCCTGTCTCTCTGCACGGGGGCCTCAGCTCCTCGACGTGCTTTGTTCACTGCTCTAGCCCGGCACCCAGAATTAGGGGGTCAGCAAATACCTGAATGAATAAGAGTCACCGAATGGAACTCTGCCCCCAACGTAAGAGCAAGAAAACAACACTGTATCTGAGAAACACCTGCTCTAAAGCTCTGGTGGGGGTGGCGAGGTGGCCAACACGCCGCAGCCTCGTGCTGTACCGTGGGCCTTTGGGGTACTGATCACTCGGCTGTCTGAGGGGTGAGCCAGAATTGGTTCTTGAAGAAAGTCTTGGCCCTTTCCATAAAACTCTAAGCGCCCCCTCTCTGTGGGGACGGCCTGCACCTCAGGGGTGCTGGTCTTCCATCCGGGTATGGGTCCTGCAAAGCTTTTTGACTTTTTGAAGAGAAGGTCAATCCTCAGCTCAGCTCAGTGGACTGCTAATTACACGAGTTTATGTTTAACTAGCCAAAAAAAAGAAAGTAAAAAAAAAAAAAAAAGTCCGCACTCCGGGGACTCTGTAGGGAGTGTCTTGAATGAACTGCTATGAAAAGCACACAGAAAGCTTCGCTGGGGAGGGAATGATGAAGGACGGCCTGAAGTAGATTTACTCCATCCACAGACCCTGAAGCGTGTGCTCGTGCTCAGGAAGGCCATGCAAAGGTCCCGTTTTCACACCACAGTATTTTGAGACCCGGAAAGAGTTGCTGCTTCTCAGGTGATTTTGGTGCCAAGTGGTGGGACAGCACTGAGGGGCGCTGTGGGGACACTGCCTCTTGGGTCCCCTGGGGTCTGCCGGTGTGCACCCGGGACCCCATCTCGTGGGCCAGTTTGAGGGGCGCCTGTTGAGGTGGGGGGTTCATTATTCCTCTCAGACCCTTGTTTGTCCACAGCCCCCATTTCCTCATGAACTTCCTGCATTAATGCTGCTACATTACCTGTGTTTGTGAGCGCTCTCAAACCTTTTAGGGGGTAAAGCTGTACGCTTCAAAATACACTAACGAATTAGTGGTCTCAAAAACACAAATTATTCCTATGCATTCATCTTCCGGTTAATTTTTTAAATTGGGGTAAAATGCACCTCACGTGAAATTTATCCCTCATAAACATACGTTTCAGTGGCACAAAGTGCATTCAGAGACACTCTCTCAACCACCTTCTGTGCAAGGAGGCCCCCAGGCTGACGGAGGCTGTCCCCTTCCCTGGCCACTGTCCCCGACTCCACAGGCCTCCGCTCCTGCGTCTACAGCGGGGCCGGGTGCTTACCAACACGTGCTGGTCACTCCCGAGCGCGTTTAGGGCGGGTTTTACTTGCTATTACAGTTACGTAACTTAATGACTTTAACATATGAAATGGGAGTACCAAAGGGAGGTGCTGTTCTTAAGAAAATTCAGTGGACTTCCATTCGCACATGACAAGTGGAGTTTCCCAGGGTTTTGTGACCAAGCAATGAGACTCTCCTTCCGGGAGAACCTTCCGGAGAGTCTCTGAGCCACGAACTGGAGGAACATTACTTACCTGCCGCTTCCAACATCACAGGACCGAGGGCGCCCTGACAGGGACTGAATCTGGGGAGAGACAATGGAAATCGGGGCTTACAAACTGTAAAGTCAGACGCCAGTTTTTAAAAAGTGTCTGTCAAGTGTCCTGGGGCTCCAGTCAGTGCAAGGAGAGCCAGTGCTTTGAGGAGCACCCTCACATGGCAGATTTTTTTTAATTAAAAAAAATTTTTTTTAAATTTATCTCTGAGAGAGAGAGACAGCATGAGCAGGAGAGGGTCAGAGAGGGAGACACAGAATCTGAAACAGGCTCCAGGCTCTGAGCTGTCAGCACAGAGCCCGATGCGGGGCTCAAACCCACGAGCTGTGAGATCATGACATGAGCTGAAGTCGGGCTTAACCAACTGAGCCACCCAGGGACCCCCAGACATTTCTGTTCTGACTAGATTTTTCCCGGCACAGAGGAGGCAGAACATTAGTAAAATTAAAAAAAAAAAAATGTTTGCTTATTTTTGAGAAACAGAGACAGAGCAGATGCCTGGCAGTAGGGGCTCGATAAATAGATGCTGGGGAAAAACCTCATCTGTCACTGTTGACTTGCTCTTGTCCCAGAAATGATTTACAGAGGGTTGCACAGCCCCAAGAATCAGGGTGAGGACCCCTGTCCAGAGAGAGCCGTCCCCAGAACTCCGGGGAGAGGGGGTACCGCTGTCCCTCTGCTGGAGAGGCCACGCCTGTCCTCCAATAAAAGCCTCCAAACCCGCTTGTGCCTCCCCGCAGCCATGATGACAGTGTGGCTGCTTCTCCTCTAAGTTATGTGAATTTTAAATTATATCCCAAAAAAGATGAAACATCATGTACATCTTGCTTTTACCCCCCCCCCCCCACCAAAAGCCCTTTCTAGCCCACCCTTAATGCTAACGAAGACTTTGATAGATTTGGCAGAAGAAACTGGAACTGGACCAGGGGACCCTGAACAGGTGGGGAGAGTTAGGTCAGTACAAGCAGTGGGAATAGAGTCTCACTAGCGGCCAGGACAGACGAACTGTTTTCTTTCAAAGGCAACACCGCCTCCCTACGGGAAGAAAGGTACCCAGGGACTCCCCGCTTCCACAGTCAGGGCAGTTAACAGCGAGCACCGCGCCGAGGTCGGCGAGCACAGCTGCGCACGCCAATACTCAGAGGCTCACAGAAATCACAAAACAGGGGACTTATCTGCCGACTCCCTGAGGACTCAGGTCAAACACCCTGTATTCAAGAAAGGGGGACAGAAGCTGGTGACAGGGAGGAGGTCTGGCTATAAAACAGAAGTATCTGCCATGACTAGCAGCAACCAGGTGCCTGTGCTTTTAGGAACTCGAATGAGGTGAGAAGGACACACAGGTTTTTCAGAATGAAAACTACAAGCCAGGAGACCGCGGACCTGGCTCATCAGCACAACTGTGGTTCCGTTGAAGCCACCATTCCCTAAGATACTCTTCCATCTCTGCCCCCTGATGTCCTCTCTTCCTTTTGTCTCAATTCCTCTTTTCCCCACTGCAGGACCAGACACTGACGTCGGGAGCGCAAATACTGAGCGACAACACACACGGCCAAGGACGAGCCCTTACCTCCTTGGTCTCCCACAGCTGTTTGGGCAGTGGCTTGGGGACATTTAGCAGGCTCTCTTCCTTCAGTGGGCCAGGGAAAGACAGCACTAAAAGGTGAAAAAGGAATACTTGCTGTGTTTAGAAGGCAACCATGCTGCCTTTGGCCAAATTAATCATCTTTGCAAAAAATGATCTATAAAACACGTATGTATTGACTACTGAAGAAGGGGTTTTGCCCATTACTGCGGGGACCCCGCGGATGAGTAAGACACGGTTCAACCCAGGACTGCAAGGTGCAGCAAGGGGCCGCCTGTGAGAGCCAGGGCGCCAAGTGGCTGACGGGCAGACAGGAAGGGGACAGTGCGGGCCTCTGCAGCTGGGCACCCAGCAGAGCCTTTGGGGGGCACAGGAAAGGGCATTCCTGAGAGAGAGATGAGAAGAAGGGCCTAGAAGCAAGGAAACAGTGGGCAGCTACAGAGTGGAGCTACTCTTCTCAATGGAGCTTGGCGTAAGGAAATAAAGTTCAGAAGGTCAAGGTCAGAGTGGGGGAGGGGAGACCCTGAGAGCTGGGCAAGGAGAGTGTGGAAGCCGGCAGGCAGCGAGGTGAGGAGAGGCCACAGTGTCCCAGGAGGGGGACGAAATGAGGGTGATAAAGAGAAGAGGGACATAGCATGGAAGGTGGCCCCCCCCCCACCAGCAGGCCCCCTGCGGGCTGGGGGCGGTGGGTGGAGGGGAACTGAGAGTCCAGAGGGTTTGAGGCAGAGGCGCTGAACAGCTCTGGGAGCAGGGACCACACAGGGCGGGGGTGGGGGGGGGGGGTTAACACCCTCAGTCTGGCCAGTGGAGACGGGGGTTGAGGGATCTGATGTCAGAAAGGGGATTCATCCTGAGAGCCGCTGATGTCAGCTCAGAACTACAACTGCTGTTGTTCTCGGTGGCCACAGAGGCTCCCGTGTGACTATCGTGGCCCCGCACCAGGACAGGCTGTGCACCCGAGTATAAGAGGCCCCAGGAAGAAGTCACTCAAAACAGAGACCAAACTTGCAGAGTAAATCCTGAGAATGACGCAGGTTCTTACAGGCGACCTCCTGGGTACCAGAAACACGGCCGCCATATCGGCTTGGATATTCTAGGCTGAACCAGTGTTCGGGGGCGGGGGGGGGGGGGAGGCTGTCCCTCTTAATCCTGTTATTCGAGCCACTCTCTTTTGACAAGCTTATTTGGTCGAATTAAGTTTCAGGTTAAAAAGGTTCAGAGAAAGAAAACAGCGCCTGGTGCTCAATGAATCAATGAACTGGGTCACACTCTCCTCTGTCAGTAGATCTCAAGGTCAGCTGGCTTTGTGAAACTCAGTATCTTCTGCAAAACTGGCAATTTCACTTTGCAGTTTGCCTTTTTCTCACATTCTTTGCACCTATCTGAAAACTTTCTTTTTTTAGACATTTTTTTATTATTAAAAAAATTTTTTTAAGGTTTATTCATTTTTCAGAGACAGAGACAGAGTGGGGAGGGGAAGGGTCAGAGGGACAGGGAGCCATAGAATCCGAAGCAGCTCCAGGCTCTGGGCTGTCACCACAGAGCCGGACGCGGGGCTCAAACTCACAAACTGCGAGATCAAGGCCTTGAGCTGAAGTCGGACGCTTAACCGACTGAGCCGCCCAGGCGCCCTTTTAGATTTTATTTTTAAGTGATCTCTACCCCAAACGTGGGGCTTAAACTCCCGACCCCTAGATCAAGATGTGCTCCATGGACTGAGGCAGCCAGGTGCCTCAAAGCTTGCAGAACTTTCTGAATACAAAGAGACAGCTGAGAAAGAGGGTTGGGACAACTAGTGGTTTCAGTGACGGACTCATTAATGTTTTCATGTGGTTACAACGGCTGTGACCTACACGGTCACAGGGTTACATGGCCCCCTGTCCTGCCCTTGTTCGTGGCTCGCCTTGATTTTATAAAGCCTCCTGAAAAGAAAGCCGATCAGCTGCTGTCAGCGTCTGGGGAAGTCGTGACACAGGACTAGGCAGAGCTCGGAGGGGAAAGGAGGCTACGCAGACTGCGGGCAGTGGCTGGCTCAGCACCAGCAGGTGAAATCAGTTCCTACCTTCCCCGTGTACATCGTTCTCACCGTCACAGAAACCTGGTGGGAGAGGGAAAAAAAAACACTTTTATGTGGTACTTTCAATTTTATGTAGCTAAGAATCAGTGACTCCTTCTGATTTGAAATAGAATTTTGAAAACTCTAAGGCAGTTTTGGTACACCCATGCGCCTCCCAAGGTGCATTCGCATTTATACTAAAATTAAAATAGACAGGAGTTATTTAAGCTGGCTCCTTTCTACTTTTCTTTTCCTTTAAAATTATCTCCATCTTAATTTTTTTTTTTTTTTTTTTTTTTTTTTACTGCCTCTATCCTGAAAGAAGGACAAGTACAAAGTCTGAGGACCTCTGTTCAAATCACAAAGTAAAGAAATACAGATCAAAATTCACCCATGTTGTGGGTGGGGCAGTGTGAGATGGGCAGGTAAATCCAAAAATCTACGGGACTGTTTCACACTTACCACGTGTACCTAATGGGAGAAACCAGAAATTCCACGTTGTGCGTTGTTATATACATATTGCTTGCAAAGAGTCAAGTTATTTTCAGAAGAGACTTATCTGGAGTCTCAATTGAAGTAGTGTATATAACAGCTATTCACAAAGTTTTAAAACATTTGAGTGGGAATAAATTCTGGCTAAGTCCAGTATTTCTAATCCATAAAAAATAGCATAGACAACAAACTACAGTATTTCCCACTGCTCTAAGCAAAAACCCACGAATCATGCCAAGAACAGCAGGTTACCATGCTCCCTGGAGTAATGAAATAGACTGAGTTTTTAGTGTAAAATCAGGACAGAGTTTTAAGCGCAAAGTCTTTAAATAGGCTTATGTGCATCAAGTTTAGTTAAGTTTCTGGAGAAAGTTCAATCTCTCAGTTAACTTGATGAGCCTCTGCAGCTTAAAGGAAATGTCTGATGATCATGCATTCAACCTGCATCCATCAAGTTCCCGCACTGAGTGAGGGCTAGGCGCCGCCAGGCTGGAGAGTGGAGGGGAGAAGTTGGAACGTGGAGGCAAGTTCTCCAAAACAGGTAGAAGACGGCCGATTTCGGTGGGGCCCCGGGGCAGGGCAACGCTGAGAATCCCAAGGAGCGCGGATAGGTGGACAAATCGAGCTCACTCATTGAGACAGGGCCTCTCTCAGCCCACAGAAACAGAATCTAGGTTAGTGACTGAAGACTTTATTTTGGTGCACGGCAAGAGTTGGGTAAGCCGGTTACAAAGGCAGATTCCTGGGCCCGTCTCGGAGACTGATTCAGAGGGTGTGAGGATGGGCCCAGGAATCTGGTTTTAACGATCACCTCCGAGGACCTCCCCGGACAGTCCCTCACCTGCTCTCTGAGGGACGCGGAGTAGGCTACACTTAATCCCCACTGGACACGCCCAAGGGAAGCCAGGTGAGCAGAGCACTGGGAAATGCGGTGCAGAGACACAAAAGGTGTGGCTCTAAATTGGCAGTGTCAGAAGGAGGGGAGAGAACCTTCTGACTCATACATTGGCTTCCTTGGGGACCCTCATCTTGGGAGAGGGCCGGGAACCTGACCATCCTGGCCATGAAGCAGTGACTATCCCGTTACAAATAATAAACCAAGCTTGATGCGGCAACCTGGTGAGCTATGTTGCGACATCTCTTTGTCATCAAGACGCCAACCACCCTGGGCTCCATCAGTGAGGCTGACCTGCCCTCGAGCACGGGGAACCGACAGAGGGTTACCTTGTGAGACTGAGTGGCAGGGAGATACCACCCCCCTGCTATCCTTGGTACCACTCCTCTCCATCAGACTGAAACAGAAGGAAGCCTTCCTGGAGGAGGAGGCACCTGAAGGCCCTGAAGGATAGTGACGAGGATGATAACATTAAGAGCAAACACTACTATTCAGCTACTAGGTGCTGGGCATCCCAGCGCCGTGAGGTACTCTGTGCCGTCCTCACAGCAGCCTAGGAGACGGCCGCCACTAGCAGCCCCAAGATGGCTCTGCTAGCAAGTTCTGGGGCTAGAACTCCGGCCTGTGAAGGGATTTTGACACTGGGGAGTGAGGGCAAAGGGGACGCCCCAGTGTAAAGACGGGACGAAGAGGGGAGGGGAGGGAGGACAGGGAAGAAGGGACGTGGGAAGGGGAGGCAAGGCCAGTGTGCACAAAAGGGACCAGCGTGGTGTCCGGCCGGAGCACAAGATGGGGGGACGGCAGGTGAGGCTGGACGAAAGGAGTCTGCCAGTGACGGGGCGCGATGCAGGGGTCAGGAGTGGCGGGATCACGGCCGTGCTTTGGGGAGAGCGTCCTGGCAGCAGAGAGCAGGAGGCTGGGACGGAGAGAGCCCGCGGGCGGGGAGCCAGGCGGGAAACCAGACACTGGCGCACGCAAGCAGGAAGCGGGGCCGGGCAGGGGGAGCAGAGGAGAGGTGCTCCGAGGGCCGGTGCGCGGGCTGCGGGAATGGGGGAAACTACTGACAGGCTCCGGCTTCAGAGTCCGGGTAACGGGAAGGACGGGGGCAGCAGTAATGGATGTGTTAGCACCAGCCCAACACGGAACCAAAATACCCAAGCCTGGATTTTTTATTACAGGAATAAAAAAATACCGTAGGATATAAACAAAGCGCTAAAACTGAAAAAGGGAACGCGTTGTGACTGGGACATCTGGAAAGAGAGGACACTCACAGCGGTCCCACTGGGGATGGCAATGACCGAGGCCCAAGCTGTGCTCCGGGCACCCTGGAGGCCTCAGAGCCACGGAGGGCTGACCTCCCAAGGGCAACCCAGGCCGCGCTCCTCTGCCCGCGCCCACGCCGGACGCATCTAAACTCCTGGCACCGGCTAGGCGGGCTGAGCAGGGATGTGGCAGGTGCGGCAAAAGCTGGGTCCCTGCCGCCTCCCCGTCCATCCTGACACTCCTGCCATCTGGGTGCCGCCTTCCGCCCCTCTGCAGGCCTGGGGCGCTGCGCCCTGCCCCTCCTCCCCAAGCATAAAGGGTCATTAACAGGCTCACTTCCTTCAGGGTTATCTGCATTTGAGACCTTCTCCTAAACGGAGCAGCTCACAGCATCTGCCTGCAGAAAGGCCACCGGAGGTCCAAGCCATGCCTCTTTCCCAGGGGAGGGGCTCAGGGCTGCAGTTCCCAAAGCTGGTACAACTCAGCATCTATCTATAGCTGTGGGTGCATGGAAGACGATTCCCACACACTCCTGGGTCCCGGAAAGGACAGGGACCGCTCCAGCACCCCCCCCCCCCGCCAGCAACATGGGAGCCAGGGAGCCTAAGGCAGTTAGGGGACAGTCCTAGGCTAGGGAGACCGAGCCAGGCTTTTCTGCTTGCCAGGCTGTGTGCCTGTGAAATGGCAAAGCACACCTGCTGCCAGAGAAATGGTTCACGCTTCTCTTCATAGGTTCTGGATAATTAAATACGAAGAGAGAAACTGTAAAAGTCTTGTCTGGTTGTATAAGTTTATTTCTGTCATTTACATCAACCACTTACCATTGATGCCTAATTGTCATACAACTCAGTAACCATTATGAAAATTACGAAGCATGTATCAGACTAACGGCTTCATTCTCCGGGGACAAAACTCCTGCTCATGGATGGATCATAGTTTATTGCTCATGTAGTTAAGTAAGAGCAGATGCTCCCTTATCGGCATGCAAGCAAACCAACAAAGAAAAACAGTGGGAACATGGACTGAGGCTACATCATTACGCTCAGGAAGGATTCCCAGGGAAAGAGCACTTATTACTGCTTCTGCTACGGAGCCTAAGATCCTGGGCTTCAATTACAGTTTCCCATCACTTCTTAAACCTTTACTTTATTTGGTTGCTCCTATACCAAGAAATACCTTTTTGCAAAGCTAATTGATATTTTTAAAATCCAAAAGGAAAGAAAATGAAAAACTTTAATGAATTACAGGGGAGAAATACATGAAACTATTTAAAATAGCTCCCACCAACAAATAGAATTCTCCAGAAATAAGCCCCATCCTTGGAGACTTGAAGAATACTTTAAACACACTGGCTTTCCCATGTAAACACATCCTTATTTGGATGTGTTTCTGAGCGATGCCATTCTTGCAAGGCCGCCACAGCAGCAGGCACGCAGCTCAGAGGCTCGCGCCGGCGGTCAGCCCGCCTTCCCCGCTGTCAGGCACCAGGGCCCAACCATTTCCACCTGCTGATTTGCAGACGGGTGGCCACCTTGATTCTCAGGTCAACCGAGAAATTCTGCTCCAGGATTTCTTTCTCTCTGCTTTCCCTCTCGCTCTGTCTACCCAGGATCAATGTTTCCACTCTGTTGCCTTTCCGTCCTCGGATGGATCTGGACATCTCCTACCTCTTCCCTCCCAGGTTACCCCACTCAATTAACCACCTTCTTCACTTACTTTCCTTCCTCTCAGCACGCAGGCCTGAGAGGCTCTTTCCTTAAAATTACCTACAATTTCCTCCTTTTCTCAAGAACTTCGGCCCTTTCTGCGGAAGCATAAACTTCGCGGAGAGGACGACGACATAAATGAAGGAACGGGGCAGAAGTGCAGCACTTTATTCACACTGCGAGGGCGAAAATCCATCACTCTGGCCCCTCTCGGTCCAGGAGGACCGGGACCTTGTCGTACCTGCTGGCACCCCTGCTGGTCACAGCCTCTGCCTTTCTGGGCTTTATTTGCTCCCATCAATGCCTCTCTGGGGGCTAAACTGCCGCATCTCCCCGTGCGCCCCACTTCTCTCAGCTGTAAGCACTGGGCTCCCATCCAGTCCCCACGTTACCGCCAGCTCAATGCTCACACTCCCAGGGGTGGAGACATGGCCTGGTGGCCCAGAGCACCTCTCAGCCATCTCACACTTGAAATGTAAATGAATGTTTGGGCAAATGCAGCCATCTGTGAACTGCACCAAGGGAGCAAATATGGCAACGATTATTATTAACTGAATCCCATCCCTACTGTGTGCAAGGAAATAAGAGCTTGAGCGTTCTCTTTGGAAGGAAGAGAGACTATCTTGGGTTTACGTGGTCTCAAAAATAAAGAAAACCAGAAAAGCTGGTATTATCTTGACCAAGGTTTATTTATGCTCCTGTTTGGAGACCAAACATACGGCCCTAACCGCTTGTGGATAAGAGCCAATCTGCACAGGAGACCGGCAATTCAAGACCATTGTTCCTACCTGATCATCAACCCCGGAGGGAAAGGCAGGCCTGGAAAGTGTCTTAGGGGAACCCGGCAGGTGGGGTGTCAGCACCTAGAGTCTGTTCCAGCAAGTGCTCTGTGCATGTGCAGCCTCTCCCACACTTCAACACGGAGGGCCCCGTGCTGGAGGTGAGAGCATTAAGATGCCGACTTCGAGAAACCTACACTGAGCAGAGAGGGAGAGGCACACTCATGAGAAAGGCAGTCAGGAGGCCAAGGTAGGCATCCGCATGGAGGAACTCTGGACAGAAGGTCATGGGTAGCTGTGGGCTGGCAAAGGGAGGGAGGTCAAGGATGGCTCCACAGAAATGGCGACAGAGCCAAGGGAGTTGGTCGGGTAGGTGAGGGAAGGGGAGAGAAGAAGAGAAGAGAACAGGAAGACACATCAGAGTGGTTCACGTGGTGGAGGAAGGTGAATGAAGGCCAACCTGGAGCTCGTGTCATTCCAGACAGAATGGGAAAGCACAGAGGCTATTCGCAGTGTCTTACCCATATATGGGGCAGGCCAGGCCGACTGGCCCCCTCCTCCATAGGGGTCCTGGGGCTTGGCACTCAGAGCACTCGTGTGAAGGGCAGAATCAGAATTGGTCCTAAGGGGGAGGAGAGAGTCTGACTGAAAATCCATTTTTCCTTAGTAAGAAGGCAATATTCTTTGCTGAAAATTACCCACAGGAGAGAAGGCAGGAATGAGGAATCTACAATCATCCGTTAAGATGAGGGGTTGGAACCTACCTGAAGTCCCTCACATCAAACTATAGCCTCTGAGGATGGCCCACGCCCAAAAAGATGGCAGTCTGTACCCGTTACAGTCTGCCACTCGGGGGTCACGGAGTCACGGTCTACTTCGACAACGCAGACCCTGGACTCATCGCCTCCCCTAAGGAACTTCCTGTTCTCCCTGGCAACTCAGAGACCGCTGGGACCCAGAGCCTCTTCTTCTGAAAATAACTCCTCCTGTGTGAAGGGCCTCCTACCGCGGGGTCCCTCCGGCCCTTCCAGGGACAACGCAGGGCCAAGATGACTTTGAAAATAATACTACATGTTCTTTGCCCTTCCGCCCTCGCTCTCGTCATGAGCGCAGCAGCTGTGGGGTCATGAAGAGGACCCAGCTAGCTCTGTCTTGGGGAGGGTTGTACAGGCACAGCAATGCTGCTCCTCTCAGTAAACTCCTCTCTGGTTTAGAAAAGGTAACTGTGGGCGTGTGGGTGGCTCAGTCGACTTCGGCTCAGGTCACAATCTCGCAGTTCATGAGTTCAAGCCCTGAGTCCAGCTCTGTGCTGACAGCTCGGAGCCTGGAGCCGGCCTCAGAATCTGTATCTCCCTCTCTCTCTGCCCCTCCCCTACTTGCTCTCTAACTCTCAAAATAATAAATAAAACATTAAAAATATACATATAACTGTGCCTCCTAGAAGAAGGCATCTTTTTATGTAGACGCGTGAGGAGTTCGTTATTGCTACTTTGTTATTTTTACATTAACAAGTATCTTTTGTAAATCTCTCAATTTAATGTCCAGTAGCAATAGGTTGATGTCAACAGGCACAGCCACTTATGCGAACACTCTCTGAGGACCTTACCGGTCTGTAAGATTGTAAAGGACCCCTGAGACAGGCAGTTTGGAGACCCCTGATGTAGAGTGAATTTCTAAAATGCTCCCAGACATTTCCAGGGGCTGCATAGCTTAACTCTTAGGAGATGATTATTTACTTATCCAAGGGTCAAACTACCTGCTGCTTGAGACAGACCTCCAATTAGCCTAAAATGCTTCTCTGTGGTCTGTTCCGGGTGACAGGCTCACGTGGCCAAGACAGCCACGTGGCCTGACTGGGCGCCGTGGCGGTGCTGTGCTCAGAGGAGGGCACGGGTGGTTCGGAACCTGCAGGATGCATCAGGGAGCGTGACCCTGGGGTTAGAGAACCCCCCCACCCCACCCCCCGCCCCGTGGTGCGGATTCCGGCTCCTTTACAGAGTCAGAGAGGCTCAAGAGAATGTCAGTCAAACGCAGAGTCAACTGGGAAAATGTGAAGTTAGCCTGGGTATTAGATAATATCAGGGAATCACTGTTATTTTGTTAAGTATAAAAATGGCAGTGCAGTTGTGTTTTCTTTAAAAGAGGTTCTTCGTCTCAACCTTTCCTGTTAGAGATATTTACACATGCCATACGCGGTCTAGCGGTGGTGGGAGGGGGCAGGAGAGCGGGATCAGAAGAAAGGAGCCGGGCAGCACGCGGACGAAGGCCGAGGCTGAAGGGTGGGCACGCGGACTTCCCGTCACTCTTCTCTCTTTGGTATATGTGTTATACTTTGCACTAGGAACTTTTAACTTTAATCCCAGTACCACCACACATTAGCTATGTTGCCTTGGATAAGTCATTTAATTTCTTAAAACAGAAAATAATATTCACTCCTGAAGGATGCTGTCAGGATTGAAGAAAATGACCTCTGTAGAGCCCTTAGCGCTGCAGTCTGGCGCAAAGCGATCAACGATGCTAAGCCAACTCTGGCTGAATGCTAATGCCACCCCCCACCCTGGGGTTTCTTATTTATCTTGTTTAATCCCCACAACCAGCTGCTGGTACAGGTATTATAATCTCCCTTTTCCAGGTGAGTAAGCTGAGGCACAGAGAAGTTAAATAACTCACTCAAGGTCGCACAGCAAGAGCCAATCCTGCAGCCCGCCTGGGACTTCAGGCTCTCACACTGTCTACGTGCTCGGTGCTGCCTGTGCAGACATTCAATAAATGGTGGGAGATTTAGACCTTAAACATTTTTTTTAATACTTCACACAAACACATCTGATGCGAATATCCTCCAGCAACTGGACAGTATCTAATGAACAGCAGGACAATCGAATCAACTGGTCTTCTCTGAACTTTATTTCTACCAGCAATCGACCCAGGTACCTGTTAAGTGCAGAGGTCAGCCTGAACCCAGGGTGCTTTTCTTCTTTCCAAAGATGCTGCTGCCTTTAAAGAACAGGATGACACAGAAAGAAAAGACATTCAAAATCCACAGGAGCAAAGGAGAGCCTGGGGCCCAAGTTTGAGAACTGGGTCTTCTCACCTGGCTGTACAACCTCAGGGACAGTCACTTCAAAGGCTCCGTGACTTGTTCGTTTTGCTCAACAGCGTTAAAATGAGGTCAGACCGAGTGATCTCTCCACTTCCTAGGACTCCTGATTTCGATGATTAAAAACTACCACAGATCCCCTGGGCATTTAAGGAGGTCTTGTTTTGTTTTATCTTAAAAAGGGGAAATAAGCACCTCTGAAATAGTTCCAGTCTATGACCGACTCCTCTCTGGGGGAAAAGACGTGTTGCTCAGCACACCCCCCGAGTGTCTGTGGAGGGGGTGACCTGGCAGTTCTGGAAGCAAAAACACTATTCCCAGGAAGACAGCCGTGAAGAGGAACACACAGCTGCCCAGTGTATGAAAATATCAATCTAACTAATCCCAGGGCTCTGGGAAGCTGAAGACATTTTTTTTTCTCAGATACAAGTTTTCAAAATATCAGTTCAGAAATGCCTTTTTATGATTTAAAATGTAGTATTGTATTTATCCATGACCTTGCATCCCAGAATTCTTGAGGGCAGTTGAAAGCCTCCTGGGGGCAGCGGCCCCCTCCCCGTTACTCATCTTCATGTGGACTTCCCGGGTCCTGACTACGTTGTTCACGGTTATGAGCTTAGTCAGGATTTGCCCAGAGGGCAGTTGGAGAGTCAACCTCAACACAGAGAGCTGAATTTTTTTTTTTTTTTTTTTTTTTTATGTGTACACTTCAAATGTCTCCTAAATCTGACCCGGTAACCTGAAATGATACCACATACACAATGGATATGCCAGCCTTTTCAGTTGGTTTCATATTCTGTTACTTGCTATATTAAAAAACACTCTATTTTGTTTTGTATGTGCCCTCTGTATACAAAAATACTCAGAGACTCTAAACCAAATCCACTGTGTAAATTACAGTTTAAAAGCCTCTTAAGTCTTTTATTCCTTCCAATGGCTTATGAGGACACCCTGAGCAAAGGTGCTTATTTCTCCTATTTTTCCACATCTCCAACAGAAGAATACCCAATCAGAATATTCTGTTGGTAGATGTAGTCCAAATGTGTTTCTGTTGGATTTTAAATATGAAGATCTAGATTTATTTAAAATTACTTTTCATCTTAGACTTCCACAAAGCCTATGATTGTTCCTGGAAGACCTAAGTTTTGTAAGAGAAAACAAAATTCTAGGATTTATACTAGAAATCGCTACAATATTCAAGGTGGATAAAATAAAGTGGAACCATCGACAAAAAACACGTGCCCATCAAATCTTTTTAAAATACGGTCTGCTGCGGTGTCTGGGGGGCTCCGTTGGTTAAGCGTCCGACTTCGGCTCAGGTCATGATCTCACGGTTCGTGGGTTTGAGTCCCGCGCCGGGCTCTGTGCTGACAGCTCAGAGCCTGGAGCCGGTTTCAGGTTCTGTGTCTCCCTCTCTGCCCCTCCCCCGCTCACGCTCTGTCTCTTTCTCTCTCAAAAATAAACAAATATTAAAAACATTTTTTAAATACGGATGGCTTACCTTGGCCAACTCTCATCCAGAGGCTGTGGGGAGTAACTGGCTCCGAGAGGACTACCATCAAAGTGGAATTTTTAATAAAGGAAAAATAAAATTAATGGAAGGTTGAAGCAGAAGGAAGATAGATGCCAGAATCGCGGAGAGTTACACAAGGGGGCTCTGCTCTGGTTCTCGTCTGTTTCTCTACCCCGACAGCTCTTCCTCCAGGCTTTCTCTCCTAAACCGCCTCTGGAAAGCCTCTTCCTCCAGCCAGTGCAGTCTTTGTACGATTCACGTGTGGGGTCTGTGTGCCTTTTTTTTTTTTGGCCTGCATAGCATCCTTTGTTTTCAAAAGCTCTCTCTCTCCACCCTCCACCCCAAACCTGGTAAGGCTGTCATCGTGCCCAAGCCCCTCTGTGCCATGAGATGGTACCCAGGCTCAGTACTTCCAGTCAAGGTACTGCCCTGGCAACAGTGACTGGCTCAGGGATGGGCTCCTGACAGAAGCGAGGCCAGAGGCTGCCTCTGAGGAGAAAAACAGAGTGCCCTCAGTTGGTAAGCGCGAGAGCCGCGTCGGTGTCGGCAGGGAGAGAAAGCCTGTACACGCAGGAAGTCAGCACAGAGGTGACACGTCGCGGATCCAGTGTCAGAGCTGTTGTGCGAACCCCTGGATAGCGCCCTGGGGCCTCCAGGGACATAAGCCAGTGAGTGTCCTTTTTTGTCAAGCTGAGGGTTCCTATTACTTATAACCAAAAGAGAGCTGCACTAGATTTATGGAGAAATGTTAACTTCCTTGGGTGGTTGGGGGCTCTGTTTTCTAAATTCTGTTTTCTTCCTGGGGCCTAGCATGCTCTGGGACATATTCCGGATGCACGGAGAAGCAGAGAAAGAGATGTGACACGACAATATACACGCCGAAGGTGGCAGAGGCGTTTAGTTCATTTACACCCATAGAACAGTCTCTTCAAGGGGCGCCTGGGTGGCTTAGTCGGTTAAGCGTCCGACTTTCGCTTAGGTCATGATCTCACGGTTCGTGGGTTCGAGCCCCGCGTCGGGCTCTGTGCTGACTGCCAGCTCAGAGCCTGGAGCCTGTTTCAGTCTGTGACTCCCTCTCTCTCTGACCCTCCCCTGCTCACGCTGTCTCTCTCTCTCTCCTAGAAATAAATAAACTATTAAAAAAAAAAAAAAAAAAGAACAGTCTCTTCAAAACACCTTCACTCATAACACTCTTCTGCTACAAACTCCGTAATGATTCTGTACAGAAGCTGTCACCCATGCGGGCTCAGGAGGAAGCGGGGGGCTGCCATGCAGGCCTGGCCTGGGCGTCCCCAGTGAACGACCAGATGTGAAGGGCCTCCGTGGCCGGGGGAGGCATTATGATCACAAGATCCACTTTCTGTAGGTTCGTCTTGTCGTCTCCAGTTAGCCTCTTTCTGAACCTAAGTCAACACGGTAGAAGAGATGATTTTCAAAAGAGAGACACTTCCTCAACAGTAACGATGGGGCTTCGTGTACACAAGTGCAGGCTAGAATATGCCACAGGAGGCCACCGCGAGGAAGAAGGCCCCCTGGGAGACGAAGGCCATGAGAGCCTTGGAGGACGGAGCTGTTGGCGAGGAGGCACCGCGTCTCCCCACCTGCGGGCACCTGTCTTTCCCCTTCCCACGGAGTCTGATGGATCTCCACTGGGAGAAGTGTAGTGTCAGGACGCAGGAAGTCCCCGTCTCTCTCAGCGGCCCGCCGTCCTAGGTCCTCGAGGCCGTGCCACTGATACAACTCAGCACGCGGTGGCCTAAGAGTAACGTAACGACCGCCACCGATTACTTCAATGGTGAGGTTCAAGTTGGCATGTTAACTTTTCTGATGTGTATTAACAGCATGGGCATGCAGTGATTTCTTGAAATTAATTTTTACAGGTGTCTCACTACCTCGCCTAGGCTGGGGTGCAGAGGCTGCTGACGGATGCAATCCCCTTACGGATCGGCGCCGCGCCGCCCTGGGCAGGCCCTGCACTGATGCGGAACTCAGCGTGGACGCCCCACCAGCCTGGCTGCTGCAGCCCTGAAACCCTGGGCTCCAGCCATGCCCCCCTCAGCCTCCCGAAGGGCCGGGGCCCAGGCGCACCACCACCGGGCCCAGCTGGGATTTTTAATATGAGGAGGTTAAGGCAGCAGAAGTCAAAAGATGTGCCCTCTGAGCATTCTTAGTTCTCGCTGGTGCATATCATTTATTGACTATTTAACAACTCAAGAGCTACTTGGCATCAAGAGAACTGCTAGTATCACTGGCTCACAGCTGAAGTCAACTGAAGGCACACCCAGAAAAGGCTCACTTCTTAAGATCTCAGGAGCTTCAGGGGCACATAAAACTTTAGGGGGTGCTCAGTAGGTTAAGCGCCTGACTTCAGCTCAGGCCAGGATCTCATGGTTCGTGGGTTGAAGCCCCACGTCGGGCTCTGTGCTGACAGCTCGGAGCCTGGAGCTGCTTCCGATTCTGTGTCTCCCTCTCTCTCTGCCCCTCCCCTGCTTGTGCTCTCTCTCTCAAAAATATATAAACATTAAAAAAAATAGGGGCGCCTGTGTGGCTCAGTCGGTTAAGCGTCCGACTTCGGCTCAGGTCATGATCTCACAGTTCGTGGGTTCGAGCCCCCCGTTGGGCTCTGTGCTGACAGCTCAGAGCCTGGAGCTGCTTCAGATTCTGTGTCTCCCTCTCTCTCTGACCCTCCCCTGCTCACTCTGTCTCCCTCTCTCAAAAATAAATAAAACATTAAAAATTTAAAAAAAATAAAAAATAAAAAAAAAATAAAAAAAGATTTCAGAAGCTTTAATTCAGGTTGCTCTGACTGGTCCACAGCACTGACGTGTCTTACAGGACAACTTAAAGATGGGAAAATACCCTCGTTTGTAAACCTGAATTTACCATGAATTCAAGAAACGACTGTGGTGTCCCTACCAGCTGCCAACAGAGAAGCAGCCGGCAACGGGATGTGAACGAGCCAGACCAGCCTCTCAGCCATCACCCCCAGCCAGTCAGCCTAGGTTAAAAAGTCCCCACGTTACTGTGCCCCTTTCTATTTGCCCCCCTCCCCGCGCACTCCTTTTCAGGTCTTTTGCTACCTCCTCCTGCTCCTCCGCCTCCGACCCTGATGCTCCCTGAGTCCCATGGCCTCACAGCCTCTCAGCCCACGTGGCTCGCAAAGGGACCGGACGGGGACAAGGGCCTCAGAACTGCGCAGGGTGTCATGCAGGAGGGCAGTGCGGGAGGCTGGGGGAGGAGAGCCCAGGACACATAGACCAGGCCCGCCCAAGCTCGCCTGGGGGTCAGTCCCGCCCCGGCCTCTGGCTCCAACCAGCACCCGGCACCCATGGTCCAGTGACCCACAAACCCGGACCCGCCCGCTGCCAACAGTTCGCCAAGTCCAAGTCCAAGTCTCCCACGGCCTGCTTGGCTCTGCCACCAAAAGTACTTTCCACCTCTATCGGGACCCCAATCCCGCTCCTCCCTCGGGTCGGCTCCTGTCTTCCTCCATCCGTGTCTACCCTCGCGACGTGCTCCCCACGTGCCTGCGATCCTCGAGAGGAAGCTCCTTGCGTTCCTGCCTCAGTCCGCTGACAGAGGGACCCCTTCCCCCTCCACGTGGGCAGCGTCAGGGCGAAGCTTCTTAGTCACTCTTCCCCAAAGGAAGGGGAGTAGCTCTTCTGCTGATAAGACAGGACATCTGCTGGCCCATCTACCCATGGGTGGGGTCACCCAGCCGCAGAAGCTCCAGACACGTCCACCCTGTCTCCCCGCCTCGTGGCTCAGAAGCACAGCCCGGCTTCTTCTTTTGGCTTCCTGTTCCCATGTGGTAAGCGCACCTGGGGGCGGGCTCAGGAAGAGCCTTCTAGAGGCAGCCTGGAGGCCGGCCATCTTCTCTCCTAGCCTCTGGAGCTCAGGGCCTACGAGGGAGCAGGGTATGGGGGGCAGGCAGCCGGCGGGGCAGGTGCGCTCGCCGTCCGTGTTCACGGAACCCACCCACCACGACGACTTCCAGGGTCAGATGCGGGACAGTTTGGTTCCTTCCTAATTTCTCGACCACATCTTCGCCAGCAGGCTACTTCCTCTTGTGCTGCTCTGCCTGCGACTATGTCCTGCTAGGACGCAGCTTCAATCACACGTGAAGGAACGAATCTGAGGGGGATCTTTCCAAGTCCTCATGCACCGCTTCCCTTGACACACAAGGGGCAGGCGGCATGTGGAGTTGTGAAGTCTGCATGTTCTCCCCTGAGAAAACTCTAAACATCAGCCAGTTCCTTGTCCCGTAAGATGGAAATCACTAGTGGGTATTGGGTAAAAACTGGGTTTTGTGATCAAATACGCTTTGTTAGTCCTGGGCGAAGAGAAGGTTTTTAACTGCAGGGTTTGTTAGGGCCCTAATGGAAACTGTGAAGCTCCTGGGAGGCAGGGGGCAGGGGAGAGTGTAGTGTTTCCTCAAAGGTAACAGGCCGTGCATGTCAAAAAAAACAGTGTTCTATAAACCAACGTCCTAAAACTCTTGTCTCGTTGCACGAAAAGAGTCAAAGCAAGGCCTGTCCGAGGACAGCCATTCCCAGCTTTGGCAGGTCCTAAGGCGCCCCGTCACGGCCATTCACGCTAGATTCCCAGATGCGACAGGCTCCTGAGCCTTGTTGGGAATTTAAATCAGAAACTTTCCACACATCTCTTTTTCTCTCTAAGAACACATTTAGAGGAAGGCATTTTCCAGGATTCTTCAGCGTGTCCCCTGCATTCTCGACGTTATGATGGGTCTGAGATGATATTATATTTGCCGTAAATTTATGCTAGTTGTTCAGAAATGCAACACGCTGGCGTCCGGGATCGTGTCCGCTGCCCGAGGAGTGAGAAGGGCTGTTGAAGGCGCGGGCAGCCGCGGAGACGCAGAAGAGCCTCTGTGCGGACTCGCGAGCCCAGGCCCCAGCCAGGGACCAGGCGGCGCCTCTCCCGCCTACTGAGTGCGGCCCCGGGCGGGAGCCCAGCTGGACGGGGCCCTGGTCTGTGATTGTGGTGGCTGCCTGTGCCAGCGGCAAAGCCCACCGCAGCAGCCTTCTCTGAGGCCACAGCCGCCCGCTGCAAGAGGAATCTCCCCGGGCCGGAGCTCTGCTGGCTGCCCACTCGGGGAGGAAGCTGGAATATTTGTTAAACAATGTTCGTTTTGTGTGAGCTCATCGTAGCATAGTGCCGAACCCTTGTCTAGGCTGGTCTGCCTGTCCGAAAACGACTTCCGAGCCAAGAAACAGCTGTAAGAAGAGAATTCTGGACACGTTTTTTTCCTTTGTGTTCTACCAAAGGTTCAAACTGGTGTTAACACTTTCAAATGACAGAAATGGGCAACAGCCATTAAGGAGGTAACAGAGGACCTGTGTGAAAGGCCACCGTTTTAAGCAAGTTATTTAAAAATCAACTGAATGTGGCCCGAAAGGCCAAGTTCTTCTGATTTATATTAGTACCTTCGACGTAAGATGATCCCTCTCCTATATTTCACGAGTTGCTCATGGTCCCTTGATACCGCAGAAGAGACGCGCTGTCCACCAACGGACAGGCCTGAGCTCGAAAATGTTTTGTTATCAGCAGATGCCCAGTCCCCGGACCCTAGTTAGGTGGCGCTTAAGAAGAGAATATGGAGAGAGTCTCTCAGTCTGTGGATCAGACTTGTACTGTGTGATGATCTTTATCTGTGTGTTAATTTAGCTCTTGCTTCCCCTCCCCTTTGAAGGTGACCTGTATTTGCTGCTTGCTCTCACAAGGGGACCCATATATGAGGTCAGGTTACACGCTGTGATAAGTCACCTGGGAGGAGACAGAGTTCCCTGAACACATGGTGCAGCCTCCCCCTTCCGTGACTCTGCACAGGGTACACCCTCTGCCTGGAACATTCCCTCTCCAGCCGTCGTCTTCTCTCTGCATCACCTACCACCGTCTGCAATTATCTTCTGTAATCGTTTCTTCACCTGTGTGCTGTCGACCGCCCCCCCCCCCCACCCGCCAGACTGCAAACTCACCAACGCAGGGACATGTCTTGTTCAAGTGCCTGTTCCCCTGTGCGCGGAATAGTACTCGGACAGAGAAGGGACTCTGTAGATATTTGCCGTGTACACGAATACATCACGAATACATCCTTGCAGGATGAGCCACCCCTTACTGGTGGCTCATCCTGCAAGCCTCAGATTTACCGCCAAGTTGCCTTCTCTGGCCTCCCCATCACTGGTCCCGGCTGCTCTCCTACGAGCTGCCTCGACTACAGCTCAGCCCACTGTGCAGTGACCACCGTATGCAACCATATTCTGCTCGCCATTATACCTACATTGTCTCAGCGGGGCCTGACACTAGTAAAAACTTTTTTAACGTATATGACTTTTTTTGAGAGAGAGACAGAGTACAGGTGGGGGAGGGGCAGAGAGAAACAGAGATACAGAATCTGAAGCAGGCTCCAGGCTCCGAGCTGTCAGCATACAGCTGGACGCGGGGCTTGAACCCATGAACCATGAGATCATGACCTAAGCCAAAGTCAGACGCCATTGTTTTTAAGTGAATGACCAGTGCCCTCTGTCACTGTCCTTCAATCCCCTCCTCCCTAAGTTATTCCCTTGTAAGCATATGTATACACTTAGACCATACTTGCTGCAAAAAGGCTCTGAGATAGTTGCAAGTATATATGTGTTTATATATATGGCTATAAATATGTCATATACGTATTACACTAATTACAGAGAACACGTGCAGGAGGAAAAGAGAATGGAGAAATTGGAAGGAGACATACTGTTAAATCAAGCAAAGGAACACTCAAAAGTTTTTTGCTTGAAAATTCCCAGCAGCCTCGGCGAGGGTCAATGTCCCTGCTCCACCCACACGAGCACATGAGCTGAAGAATCGTCTGGATTCTCGTGTTCTGCATAGGGGTTATTACACGTCCCAGAAGGGAATCCGCAGAATCAGCCGTCAGCGGCACCCTCCCTGACAGCCGTCACATAATACACAAACTAGAAGTCAGGGTCTGTCGTGGACCAAATGCGGGGCATCCCCAGGGGCCGGAGAGGGGGGAGATGTGAGCATTCCCTGGGGTCGCTATCCCTGCCTCCAAAGAGGAAGCTGGAGGAACCCCGGGGGCAAGAGAAGTGCGTCCCCTCTGTGCATCCTACAACCCCGCCAACGGGGCCTCTCTCGATGGAGGTCCCGGGGCCGACCCACCGAGTGCTGGCGGGAGGGAAGAGGCCCAGGCCGGGAGCCTGCTTGACCTGGGCTCAATCCAACGTCGGCAGTGGGGATCTGGGACAAGCGACTCTGACGCTCGGCTTCCTCGGAAAACAGGGGTTAAAAAGCATGAAATACTCAGTGAGTTGTGAGGACGAAATGACACAGAAGTGGTCCGGCGCGGTGCCTGGCAGGGGTAGGTGCTCGGCAAACACGCGTGCCCTCCCCCACTTCCTGGTTTCTCGAGAAGCCAGCTCTACCATCACTGCCAGGAACCAGCTGTGCAGCAACACGCACCCCGCCTTCCTGTGCCTTCCTCCACCCCAGAACGGGGGCCGCAGGGAGAGCTCGGGGCCTCCCGGCACGCTGCTTCCGCGTCCTTTCCCACAAAACCCAGCTCGGCCCTGTGTCCCCAAAGCCCTGAGCACAGCGCTGGTGGCCCCGCGGTGACTGCTCCCCCCACCCCCCAGCCCCTGATCAACAAAATCATCGGGGGACTTTGAAATCTCCCTCTTCTTCATTCCTACTTAACAGCGCAGGACTTGGCGTAGACACTGCATGAGAATTTTCTTAACTTTATACTGTAGGCGTCATTTACTGAGTTTGGAACTCCATAAATAGAAGATCATATGAACTTTCTTCCGTATGTTGTCACACCGGGGTCCCCGGGTCAGCAGAAATAAAAATAAGTCACATTTCTGTGGATCTGTTGTAACTAAACAGACCAAGCCTCTCTAACCTGGTTCAAAGTCGGGTCTAACTGCTGTGGCTGACCTCAGGAGAAAATCCTGACGGGGCCTCACAACGGGGCCGAGTTACAAGTTTTCTTTATGTTCAGTTACGTCACCCAACTCAGCTTTGTCACCGTTTTCATCAAGTAAACACCCACGATTTTTAGCTGTAGAGATGTTTCTAGTTTCCAACTCGTTTATTTTTATTGCCTCCTTTCATCAGATAAAACGAAGGCTTGGAGGCCAAAGGGGAAGTACAGGGAAGAGAAACCCTGAAAACGTTTCAGACCTTTCAGGAGCCACGCTCCCCTCAGACAACAAGAAAGGATATAGGTCGTCCTGGCTTGTCCCCAGGCCGTCGGTGGAGCGGGTGGAAGCGGGTCCTGGCGGGCCTCTCCACCAGCCCGTGGTGGCGGGTCCCGCGCGTGCTATCAGCCTGGTGCAGGGACGGCTGTGGAGAGAAGGGACAGGAGTCGGCCTGTGACCATGAAATCGCCACTCACCCCCAGCAGCAGCAACCAATGACAAGGCAGATTCCGGATCTTTTACGAGAGTTTCTGACCGTGCCTCGAGTCTAGGTAACCATGGTCGCAGAGCACATGGGGCTGTTTCCGCAGGAGTGCGGAGTGACCGATCACAGCCTTCCATGTGCGAAGGTGAAAGCTGAGCTGATGATATGTTAAAAGCTGTCACAGTTAGGAGGCGGGACCACAGGTTCATACATCATACCCCAGACACTCGGAAGTACGGTGACACGCAAAAGAGGTCTATTTCAGATAGAGGTAAGCTGGATACCTATAGTATCCAGAAATACAGTATCCAGAAGTGTGTGTGTGTGTGTGTGTGTGTGTGTGTGTGTGTGTGTAGCATCCAGAAATACAGATACAGTATCCAGTAATACAAGCATCAGAGACATGGATATATATCATATCCAGAAATACAGATACAGTATCCAGAAATAAAACAGGATACCTACAGACTGGGGGCTATTTCTTCTGCACAGAGTCTTTTTAAATTTCCAATCGAATTGACAATGTTTAAAAATTCAGGTCTGAGACTTCTAGGGACAAATCAGAACACCTTGGCCACACCAGTCCCACATTCCCACGTGGCAGAATGGACTGAAACCAAGAGTGGCTGCTCTCCGTAGGCAGGACACCCATTCTCGTGCTTCTAATGCTTACACCAGACCACCGACTGACTTACTACTTTAGACATTTGAGTCTGCAATCCCTCAGTTCTGGAAAAAGAATGCTACCTCAAAACAAGTGGAAAATGTGCAATTCATTACTCCCAAAAATGGCATAAATGAAAATTTAAACAGATTCAAGATAAATCCGTCGTCAATAAATCCGAGATCCTTTCTTAAGGGAGGCTTGGGTACATTCTTCTTTTTTTTTAAACTTTATTTATTTTGGGAGAGAGCAAGCAGAAGAGATAGACAGACAGACAAACAGAGACAGAGATAATCCCAAGCAGGCTCTGCACTGTTAGCACAGAGCTTGACATGGGGCTTGAACTCATGAACCATGAGATCATGACTTGAGCCGAAATCAAGAGTCAGACACTTAAGCGAATGAGCAACCCAGGCATCCTTGGGTGTACATTCTCTACATTTTTGAGACTGGCATCATAAAAGGCAATCTTTTGGGTTGTCAAAGACCAAGTGCTAGGTTTGACCACTGTATCACATATATGATGTGCGGACAATGTATATACAATATTATGCAAGGTATGTGTTTGTGAAATACATGAAAACAGATTTTCTTTAATGTAAATTGAATCATATATAAATAGCTTGCTCTGAAACGAATCCTAAAACAGACGATGTTTTCATAGGGGAGCTGCTTCTTTTAGCTATGAATTGGTGGTTAATTTTTCTTTGTTAAACATGGACTTTCTCACATTGGACTTGGGAAAGCCCCTTATTTCTCCTGAGTGGGCTGATAAAATGTCTAAGCTAATTGAGTCTAAGAGTTCTAACCTCTCTCTCTTTTTTAATGTTTATTTATTTTTGAGAGAGAGAGAGCGAGAGCGCTTGAGGGGCAGAGAGAGAGAGAAGGAGATACAGAATCTGAAGCAGGCTTCAGGCTCCAAACTGCCAGCACAGAGCCCGACGTGGGGCTGGAACTCATGAACTGTGAGATCATGACCTGAGCCGAAGTCAGACGCTCAACCGACTGAGCCATCCAGGTGCCCCGTCTAATTTCCTTTTAAACCCAAATCTGTTATCTCCTAAAAAAAGGCCCTGGTGAGGAACAACTTCTGAAGGCAAGAAAAACAGCCACTGTGATGGGTAAGCTGGGTGTTGATCTCGGACAATACAGCACATTCTTCCAGGGAGTGACAGGTTGAAATACCTTTGTTAATCACGAGGATGCATACCCACAGCATAGGAACACGAGGGACAGATGACTTTGTTCCAGGGTAAAAGGGAGGATTCTCTGGTAATAGGACCGATATTCACGACAATGATGTTAAATGTACCTGGAGACACATTTCAGCTGGGAGGCTCAGAGCACGGAGCCCAACCTTACAGAGGAGGGGCTGGGGAGCCTTAGAAGGGGTTCCAAAAAAGCGGAGACTTCTTGGAACGCCTTGCAGCCTTCCTCTTACACACATACTTGCTACCTACTCGCCTCTTCTGCATTAACCAAATGCATGAGCCCGAGTCCTGTCTTGCTGCCTGGCATGGTCTCTGCTAACATCTGATATTTTCTTCTCGTGCTCAGCGCCACACCCCTGCAGTCCCCTGCCCCTGGAGTAGCTGATCTTCCTCCCAACTACACTGGGCTGTTCAGCCTTCTGGACTCACAGGTACCCGCCTTGCTCATGAAATGAGCCCGAGCAGGTGTTCCGTGCGGGAAGCTGGGGGCTAAGAAGACTCAGAAGAGGAAGCCTGTGAAACACTATGGTGTTATGCCTGCTGAGAGCTGAGAGTCTGTGATTTAAAAATGTATTCCTTAGGTCAGCTTGAACACAAAAAAGAAATAGAAGGCCAAGTACTTCATGCTTTCAGTTCCTTTTCAAGTTTTATCCATAGGTTGTGTTTGTTTTTTGTTTTTTTTTAACAAGGGTTGTATCCACACAGCACATACGTTCTTGTGGTTTACTTCCTGTACCTATTTACTGTTTACTTTGTACACAATTGTCTGTATATGTAACCTTTCAGCAGGTGCACAGTATTTGACTTCCGACCTTCACTGAGGCCAACGCTCCATGTTGCAATTCAAAGAACATGTGATTTGGAGTCAGAGAAACAGTTCCAGTCTAGAATCTTTTACTTAATAGCAAGTCATTGCCTTATCTGTAACGTGGACATGATGCTGCTGATAACTTCCTCACAGGACTGTCGAGAAAACGAAATGAGATGATGCGTGTGAAAGCTGCCTTATCCCAGGGCACCAGGCACTGGGCCTTACAGGCCGACCTGTTCCCCCACCCAATGCACAGGCTAAAGCCCTAAGCCGTAAAGGGGCTGCATGTGGACACAGAAGGAAATACAGGTTAAGTGAGGTCCTGAGGGTGGGCTCTGATCTAATGGCACTGGTGTCCTGATGAGAGGAAGAGCCAGCAGGAACACACACACACACACACACACACAGGAAAGACTGTGTGAGGACAGGAAGAGAGGTCTGACCAGAAACCCACCCTGCCCACAACTTGATCTTGGACGTCCAGCCTCCAGAACTGTGAGAAAAGAGACTTCGGCTGGGTCAGCCCCCCAGCCTGTGGTGTTTTAGGACACCCAAGCAGCCTAAGAATACTGGGCACCGGAAGGACGATTAATTAAGAAGTATGTCTGGGTGGTTGGGCACTGAGAAGCATCCTGCTAAAGGTGAGGCCACCCCCCAGAGTCCTTTTCTGGACAGCACAGGCAGCACGATTGGTAGGGGCTTCCCCGCCACTCTGAGCCTCCCAAAGCACCCCCAAGGGGCGAGATCTTCGTGAGGCACCCATCTGCTGCCCACGTGGGTCACCTCTGCAAGCTGCTGCCTGGGACGAACGGCTGGACAGACAGAACGCCGGCAGGGCCCCATGTGACTGGCTCTGGCCCACGGTTCACGAGCAGACAGGATACACACTTGTCCAAACAGACACTCCCCTACTCTCTTCCTTCTGCTCTGAGAATTTCACGACCCAAACAGGGCTGCTCCCTCAGCCTCAGTTATCAAGGAGAAGATAATGTGTAGGAAAGCAGCCGCCAGCCCCAAATCCCAGAGTTAGGGGAGCGGTCGTTAGCACAGCAAAGCTAAGATGATAGTGACAGTGAAGAGAGGCCACCGTGAGGTGCGGAGTCTCATTTTCCTTCCCAACTTGGGAAACTGGCGTCCCCGTGGTTTGAGGACGGCCCCGGGCTTGGGCTCTGCTGACACCATCCTGTCTCAGAACACGGGATGCAGACACTAAAGGAAGAAGACCTCCACCCTGACGCGGGGGGCCCGGTGCCGGGCTACCCACGGGCGGGCCGAGCACGCGCCGAGGGCCCCAGCAAGGCAAGGGCAAACACCCAACGGGGAGAATCTATTTGAGACGATGTCTGATAACGTTCCAAGTGCTCGTGGTGGGAAAATTCAGAATTTAGCTGGGCTTCCTTACCTTTCTGTTTGTTTGGGGATGGTTTGCTCTGGGGCACTAGAAAGCAGGTGGGAAGGGCACATGGCCGACGGCCACGCTCTCGGTGGCCGCCTGACACAACGTAGAGGTGTGCCTGAGTCAATGGCCCGATGACGAGGTTCAGCCCTGGGAGGCTCCCCTGGGAACCTTAGCAGCGAAGGGGTCAGCCATCAATCCCGCTCCACGTTGTGACCTAACTGCCAGGGGCTGCGTGTGGGAGGAGGAAGGGACCGAGCGGTGACGCAAGGCAGGGGAAAGGTGGATTCTGGGCTCCAGTCGCCACATCTGAGAGAAAGAAGGCAGACCACGGTGGAGGTTCCACGGACCTCGAAGGCCAAGGGCGATGAGGTGGGTTCAAGTTCAGAGGTTGGGGGTAAAGATGGCTCCTGAGTTGGCAAGGAGACCAGCTATAGCCAACTTTTGCCTATTTCCTGTGGCTGGGCTGTGGGGGGAAGGAGGCAGGCAGCCCCCAAGCAGTTTGAGGTGCTGCTGAGAAGTGCTCGGCCACGGGCGGACCCTCGGCCTCAGGTTCCCCATGCAGGACCGCAGCTCCCGGTTGCTCCCGAAAGCACCTCTACGTGGACGGCGAACTGGAGCAGGGGTGCAGGCGTCTGGGCGGCCGCAGGCGTGGGGAGCAGGGGCCGATGCTCGCTGAGATGACACAGGACGTGGGAATCTTCCAGAGGAAGCAGAGTTGCGCGTCTCTGGGGAGAAGTCCAGGGCCAATGGCAGGGAGTCCCAGGCTGGGCGGCCCCCCCAGCGACAAAGACCTCAGTTAGGTGTCTTCTGGTGGGCGTGAGCACGCACCTGCTGCCCACCTCACTTCCCTCTCAG